CTTTAGAACTGAGTTTGATTCCTGGCTACGGTTGACATCGGTGAGGAGTGATATCTGAACCAGTCCATTCCCGCCCCTTGCCCCCCTAACCTTCACCAACCCGCACTGACCACTGTAAAGCTATGGCCTAACATGACTGAGATGGCATGGGTAAGTCCTCATCCAGCAGTGGATCAACAAAAGGGTTGTGACATTTGTTGTAAAATTCTATTATTATTTGAAGTTTATGGGCCCCTATTCAAGAAAACTAAACAACACTATTTTTTATTTCACCAGGTAGGGCCCACTGAGTTTTATAGCTCTTTTTCAGAAACCATCTGACCACAAATGGTAGCTCAACGAAGTGGCTTATCACGTGGAAATTTATCGCAGCCAAATACTCTAAACGCACGTTTCTAAATGAGGAGCGGAAAACCAGTGGACCCAGTGAAAAAAAAATCCACGCCACCACGGGGAGAGAGAGCATGCAAACTCCAAATATACGGGCGTCCTGTGGGGGGATGAGCGCTGACTAGTAAGAAGAACCTCTTAAGGCTGTCATGGAACGGTCTTGCTCCGCGGCTGAGAACAACCTCTTTTTGTTTCGATTCAAAGCTTTCGTGACTGATTGGAGGGTATAATATTGTATTACATAGTAGTCCTGTTTATAGCATAGTCATAATGCAACTCCGTACACAGCAGCGCACCTTGGCTCCTCCGCCCCGGAGATGGGGGCTGGTAACATGTTAATCCAACTCTGCTAATCCAACTCTGCCCATACAGCTTTAAAAAGACTCGGTCCTTGCGTGACAGCGTCCATTCAAGCTCTGTCTCCTGGATAGACCTGTTTCTTCACCTGAAAAAGTCCACTTGTGTTGTGACCGAAACGTCGTGAGAATTTTATTGTCTTATTTTGTTTTATTCTCATTCTACGTGACTTTACCGAAAGAACCAAGAAGCTGGTCCTCTTTTTGATCTCCACTGAAAATTAAATCACCCATTTGTTGCGCTTCCCAGTGGTGGTGATGAACTCGAGGAAACAGCACCTCATAAAATGTTCAACTGCAGTAAGGGTTGTGTTTTGCAATTTATAATGATGAGCACTGGTAAAATATATATTTTTTTCGAATAAAATTGAAAAGCTACACACCAAAACAAACTTTTAAATGAGGATTCTTTTACTTGGTTTGGGCAAATATATTTGTGATTTATAACATTAAAACATTATTTATATATTGAAAAAGCTACGTTTGATAATATGTGTGTATGTACGTTGAACTTATTTCGCACCCTACGTAGCCAACTGTGCTTATAGCACAGATGATTGACAGGCAGCGAGTAAGCGGCACACTCGCTTGGAACAAACCCCTTTCTGAATGTAACGCTTGCTGAGCTGGGAGATGGCTCGGAGATGGCATCGACTTTCAGCAAGTCGGTTCATTCACACTTCGGGGGGGGGGGGGGGATCTGTGAGTGTGAACCGCTTTATTTATTTATTTTACGAGTGGGTTTTTGTCCGGGTAACCCTGTGAAGAAAAAAAAACTCTCCCAAAGCCAGGACCATCCTAAAAAAATACAGATTGTCCCCGAAATAACGTAAGTCGGATGGTCCGACTTACGATATTTCGATCTTACGATGGCGATAGCGATACGACAAAATTGCCATCAACAACCTGACATCGTTCAAGGATGCAGACGACGGACAGAATCTTGGTGAGTACAGTTACAATATGGCACGTTACGATACGTTCAATGCGTGTATGATACATTGCTTCAGCGATTTCAGTTTAGGGTTACCACGATATGATACATACGTTCAATGCATGTTAAAAGTTTTTTTTATAGCAGATAGGATTGTTTCCTGAAAAAACTTTCTATGAAATTGCAGTTCATATAGGTAGGCTAAGAATTTACCTTGTTTTTTACTTTACATGTTACTGTGCAATGCAGTATTGTAATTAATAAATACATACAGTATATAGTCTATACAGTACGGTACTGTAAATTGCTCTGTTTTGATAAATTATCACCATTCTTCAAGACTCCTGGGTAGGCTAGGCCATCTTCGACTTACGATATTTTTGACTTACGATGGGGTCGTCGTAACGCATCTCCATTGTAAGTAGAGGACTACAATATAGTTTCAACCATCAAGGCTTTCCTAGTATTGATATTTTCTCCATAAATAAATGTCATATATAAGAGCGTCACCTGGTGGTTGAGCAAAAAAAACCCGCCTTTTTAAGTGGTTCCCAAATAGGCTTCGGCAAGGTAAGATAAAAACAACGAGCCTACCTTTACCCTACCTTTTACCTTACCACAATACAATCACTCTACCCTACATTTTACCCTTCAGCAGGTAAGGTAAAAGGTAAAAAGCAACGAGCCTACCTTTACCCTACCTTTTACCCTTACCCCATACAAATTACCCGATTATAGGGTAATTACTGGGGTATTACACATGAAAAAGGTTTATAACAGGTAAATGCTAGGTAGAGTGCTTTATTCATCTAGAATACTCTCGATTATTCCAATTTTACACGCTTTCTTTTAACTCACTCTGTTGTCATATTCTCAAATCTTGTAACTCAATTTTAACCCACTTCCCAATGTGGTTTTGACTGCAAACTTGGTATATTTATGTCATACTGATGACAATACTATATTGTATCATAAAAAATAAAATACAAATATTTTTTAACATTATTTTATATGTTATGTTTCGGCTTGGGTCTAATTATCCACTGTCAACTGACGTTGGCTGTAATTGCCCACGGTCCCTTACGTTGTGGCAAGCTTCAGGGCCACTTCCTGGAGTGGTGGAGTTCTGCCATTACTCGTACATTTCATAACAGCGTGTTTTTAAAAAAAAGTTTTTTAAAAAATATTACTTATTAAATGGAAGCCACGGACTGCGCCACGGAGCTTTTAGCGGTAAACAGTGGGAGTTTAATGGTAAACATTGGTGTAATTCACAGTGCATGCGAAATTCCTGCATTGTGAATTACAGATTAATGAATGCCGAGAATCACTCCTGCCATGTGCTATAGCAGGAATAATTACCGCAGTAAAAAAAATACATAAAATGTAAAAAAAATCTCTGTTACGGTTGCAAATGTTCAAACTTTGCAACATAAGTTTCCCCCAACAGTATTCATGTGTGAACTTCGTCAAGCTCGGGAAATTTGTACTTGTTCATTTACTCACCTCCCTCCCCCTCCCTCCCTCCCCCCACCCTCCCTCCCTCTGTTCCAATGCTGGAATGCTTATAATTTCTTTAACTCGCAGGCCACATGAGCCGGTCAAAATCTCACATGGCGTGGCTTCGGGCAAACGGCTTGGCATCATCTCCCGTTTAATAATTGAGGACGCTTATCTCTCGAGCTCGTGGGTCTTGGGAGCCCATAACCTATACCATTTCATCAAATATTCATGCACGGAAGTGAGTAAAACACATACTCCAAAGCACGGGGGTCCGAATTGAGTGCAGTCTGATCTGTTTCAAAATGGGTTTTGGGCAGCCGAAGCTAATAATTTTGTCCGTGTATTTGTGTCAAAAACGTTTGGTGTTTTGAAGTAGTTTTTTTTTCTCTCTCTCTATGGGACCTTTTTTCCAGAATTAAAATGATGGAAATGAGAATAGGCTTTACCCTTTATGGCAATATTTAATGCTTCGATATTTGCATTGCCTTTGTACTGTTCGCCCCTTGGCGTTCTCTGGTCTGACGCTGGTGACACTCGGCCATAAAGAGGGCTGTCTCTGTTTCATAGACAATGCCATCTGTTATCAGAGCATGTTTGTTTGCCTGTTGTTACCACAAGTACCGTGTGTGGTTAATGCAGACTTGATGCCTTGCACTAGGTGTCCGTTTGGTGTTTGAACATCTTAACACCTGCGTTATTGCCATAAAGGATGAAGCCTATTATTATTTTCATAGTTTTTTCTTTATCTTTTTTACCCGTGCGTTGCCCGCTATAACCAGAGGTGACAAAAAGCGATCGAGTAGCATTACTTTAGTTTATTGAAACGACTCTAAATTACAATAATTATGATGATGATTATTATCATTGCAAGTGAGAGCCAACGCAAATAGTTGCTCGTGGCAATCGCGTTGGCCGGTGAGATGATTCCCAAGCAACCTGAAATGTCCGTGGCGTGTCGTTGCCTCGAGGCAGTGATTCGAGCCACCACCAGGGCAGGTCGATCAGCAGAGGTGACGCCATTGCGACGTTGAAGCACCATTCTCTAACCGCCGCTTCACTCGCGCACCGCTCGGCTTTATATACTTAAAAAAATCCTTCCCATCGACTCATTTCCCCCGAGTTCTCGAGACCTTGCTCAATCCAACGCAATGAATTGTTGTATCTCCTCCTTGGCTCCCCCCCCCTCTCTTGCCTATATAGCCTCTTGTTACAGCAGCCCTTTTGCCCACTTCAGCAATTGTTTCTTACTGTGGTTGTCCCACCAGATGACGGACGCTTGTGTTGCGCCCGAAACGTCGTGATTTAATTTATTTTATTTTATACCGACGTGACTTTACCGAAAGAGCCAAAGAGTATGGATCCCTGCAGTCACGAAAACTTCAAATCTAGAATGAATTGTTAACCTCAAACGCAAAGCACCTCGGTGCTTGCCGGTGAGAGGTTGGCTTCAAAATGAGGTTCTCAATGCCGTAAATAAATACAAGGTTGCACAGGTGAATCCCTGCAGCCGTACGTGGCATTTGACCGACGCTGAAATCTTCCTGTGCATCCATGGAAATTGTGAACTTCATTTTGAAGTCAATCTTTCACCTGTAGCACTGAGGTGATTCGTCTTCAATGCATCTTGTATTGGTTGGCTTGTGCAAATCAATATAAGATGTCAATAATCGTGCTGTTTGTTCATGCGGCTTGGGATTTGGGCCTTTGGGCCTGTGTTCAGCAACCGTGATATAAACAAGAAATCAACAAATACTACCACGTGCATCACAACTTATGGAAGTGCTTGGTGTCCCGTACGTGCCCGCGTGTCACGGCAGGCCACGGAGAGCGACCCTGGCGACATGGACCTCACGGGGCTGCCCGAGGGTCTGGTGGACTCGGAGGACGACGAGGAGGAAGACGAGGATGAGATCGAGCGCTCCGGCGAAGCTCTGCCGAGCCACGACTTTGTGCGCGACTGCCTCGAGAAGGAGCCCAACGACCGCACGGACGATGATATCGGTAAACTTTTAAAATCATTAAGTTACTTTGTAAATTAAAATAAATTTGATATCTCACCCACTCCAAAATGGGGTTGACCACGCCTCATATTTACGTATATGAGACGAGGCTTTGCCTGGGAAATGACAGTGTTCCTTCCACCAAGGAATAATTGATCTTGGGAAAAAAATGGCTGTTGTATAAATGAAATGCAATGTTAATTTAAGTGTGGAAGCATGCTCTAATCACGATATTATCACGTCCCAATATCCGGTGAATATCATTCGTCCTGCATAACGAAAAAAACACACGCATCTCAAATGGACAATTTGTGACTGATAACAAATTCTAATGCTCTTTTTGAATGATGAGAAAGATGAAATTGCTCACGTATATATTAAAGTCTATGCTGATACGTGGAACAATCTAAAAATATTGGCCCCACAAAAATATAACCCGTAGGGTTTATTGGTTTTACCCATTGAACAGGGTCCCCTTGAATTCCCACACTGCTTAAAGTCTAAAACTTACACGCTCAACATAAATGATCGTTACCATCAATGAACTAAGTGAACCACAACACCTTGCTGATCTCGTCAAGGAGCATCAACCACGAAGCGAACTCCGGTCATCGTCGCGGTAACCTTTTGGCCGGCCATCGAAACAAAGCCGGTCACCGCATCGCGCGCATTCAGATGCGCTTCTGCGGCCGTCTGAAACGCTCTTCCTTCCGATATTAGGAAGCCACTGGACCGATGCACTTTTAAATCTCGATTGAAAACTACTTTATTTAGAACTGCTCTTTGTGATTAGTCTGTTCTTTCCCATCACGGTTGGCTATGTGTGGTACAAAAGAAGTTCAACCTACATACATACTCGCAGGGGCACCCAGATGCACGTAGCAAGCGCACACACACTATCTCTCTCTCTCCGGTGCTTGCGCAAAGAAAGCACGCTGGCTCTGAGGCTTGCTGACGCGCCGGGGCTCCGTGTCTGCCTCTTCGTGACCCACAGAGCAGATGCTGGAGTTCATGCACCAGCTGCCCGCCTTCGCCAACATGACCATGTCTGTGCGGCGTGAGCTCTGCGCTGTCATGGAGTTTGCGGTGGTGGAGCACGCCGGCACCGTCGTGTTGAACCACGGCGAGGAGGTAGCCGCCGTCGTCGGTTGTCATTGCCGTCATTGCCATCATTGCCATCGTCATTGTCATCGTCATCGTCGTAGTCGTTATTATTGTTATCGTTGTCATCATCATTGTCGTCATCGTCAATGTCAACATCGTCATCACCATTGTCATCATCGTCATTGTCATAATCTTAATTATCATTGTCATCATCATCATTGTGGTCATCGTCATTGTCGTCATCGTCATCGTCGTAGTCGTTATTGTTGTTATTGTTATCATCGTCATTGTCATAATCTTCATTATCATTGCCATCTTCCTCATTGTCGGCATCAAAATTATCATTGCGGAATTTTCTAAAGCAAACTGTGACTTCATCCCTACCCATAGTTGGCTTGTAATTTTAATATGTATTTTGTTGATGCTTTGCAATTTCACTTTTCCTTTCACATTTCTAATTTCGCGTTTCGATGTCCGTTTTCTGCACTGATATTTGTTTTGTTCAACGCATTTTTTTTTAGCAAAAGAGATATTACTCATCGCAATGATTTCTAACCCGCTTATAAAATGCGCTTCAGTGTGTTTTATGCTGGACATATGCAGGACACAATTCTGTTTTGTTTTTTGCCAAATAAACCCTATTAGCTGTCATATTTAGACAGGGAGATGAGGATAAATTGATAATGTGCTTGGTTCAAAGAGCGAACCCGCAGGATGATGACTCGCTTGGGTCCCGTCACTCTGCATTCGTGCATTTGCTGGTGTCGTTATTTCCGCATTCTGATCGTCGTTGCAACCATGTCCTGTCACCTTGCCCGCTTGTTTCGCTAGCTGGACTCGTGGTCGGTGATCCTGAACGGCTCGGTGGAGATCACCAACTTTGACGGGCGTACGGAGACGCTGTACATGGGCAACAGCTTCGGAGTGTCTCCCACTGAGCATACAGAAGTCATGGTCGGGGTCATGAAAACAAAGACCGATGACTGCCAGGTACCTGAAGACTTTAAGAATGGGGCCTGACAGAAGGAATGGGTGCCACAGCAAGGGCATGAATGTTCAGTTAAAGGGAATCTTTTTTTTAATCGCATTATATTGAGATTTTAACAGTTTTTAATTAAAATGTTGACGTGTTAACTAAACAAATGTGGAAAAGATAAAAAAAAAATCCTTAAGAATTTGGAGAAAATTCCGAAAAAACTTTCCAAACATGACCCCAACTAATTTCGATATTTTTCACGGAGACAGAAATTGCGTAGTCACATTGAAGGAGTTGTTTGAAGGGAAGGAGAAATGTAATTCCTCAATGGCAGGGATGAAAGTGCTTAGCACTTCAAAGAGCTCATCTGGAGTAAATATTACTCACTGATCGCAATGTCAGGACTTGTCCCGTCTAAGCACTACACATCGCACGTACAAACACAACAACATCGTCATCAGCTGCCATTGCCACTCAGTTGGGTGCTATCACCATGACAACTCTACCGTGATAGGTGCATTTTAAGGTCACGTGGAGTGGTGGTGGCTTGCTGGCAGGAGGGCATGGAAGTGACCCAGGTGTCCGTAGATCAACAGACATATGTGGGACCAGAAAATAAAGCACTGTGCAAGCTTGCTTTATTTTAGCCACCTGTTGCCAAGCTTGTTGTTGTGAGCATTGCATCACCACTTTCTCTAATAACAGCAACAGCTGTCGCCATTCTCCGCTAAGTGGCGGTGACGTCACCATATCACTTATGCCAGGTTAGGCACGCTTTGAGACTGTGACGTGTGAAAGGCTCGCCAGAAGGTCATCACAGGAGACAGACCCAGGTGTTGTGGGTGAACTGACTGCGATGACTGGCAGATGCACCACCAGTGTTCGCCACCACGCTGACTTTAGAAAATTGATATGAGACAAGGACTTATCAGACTTTTGGGGGCAAGTGCTGTTAGCCAGCACCTATGAGGGCGGAACGGTACACGAGTGGGTGGGTGGCCAGCACCACGCCCGACTGCCTTTGTCTCCCTAGCGGCGATGTTTACACACCGTACCAGATACTCACTTGAGGCTGAGGCGACCCGAGGGAGGCCCATGACCGGCTCAGATAATCTTCACTGGTGTTGGTGGCCGTGAGCGGGAATCAAACTCGGGTCACCGGGTTCGTAGCGCAGCATGCTGACCGCTGCGCCACCGCTCCCCCACTGATATGAACACACAACTACGGCACTTCTCCCAGCAGTCCATGAGATTCATCCCTTACCTGTGTGTGTGTGTGTCAGTTTGTGTGCATAGCACAGCAGGACTACTGCCGCATCCTGAACCAGGTGGAGAGGAACATGCAGAAGGTGGAGGAGGAGGGAGAGATCGTCATGGTGAAGGAGCACCGAGAGCTCGACCGCACCGGCACTCGCAAGGGGCACATCGTCATCAAGGCACGCGCACTCGCTCAAACACGCTTGGCATGTTGGCAGGGCCCCTCCTGGGCGCCGTGGTGGCGAGATGTTAACTACCTCGCCTGGTACACAGGAGGTCGTAGGTTCGATCCCGACCCTGGTGCCTGTCTGTTCTTCCCGTGGTCATGTGGGTTTTTCTCCAGGTCCTTCGTTTTTTCCCCGCCACATTTATAAACGCGCGTTTAGGGTATTTGACCACTATAAATTTCCATGTGATAAGCCAATTCGTTGAGCTGTACAGCTCAGTGGGCCCTACCTGGTGAAATAAACATTGTTTTAGTCAGTTAGAAGAGTCATGAGCCTCGGCACGGCATTCCTGGGTAAAGCATGCTCGTGCCAAGGCGAAGATCCTACGTGTGTAGCACGCGCATGCTGCTGGGGCAAGCGCCGTTGTTAACGAGCACGCGTGTTGAAGCCAAACATGGCACGCAAGGGGATGGCGTGGCCGGCACACCACGCCGAGCCACGTCCATCTCCCCAGCGCCGATGTTTACACGCACACGCGCGTGCGCGCCCGGTTTTAACCGCCGCTCGTCACGTCCGCACGTTGGCGCCTGCGCAGGGCACGATGGAGCGGCTGCTCACCCACTTGGTGGAGGAGCACTCCGTGGTCGACCCCACGTACGTGGAGGACTTCCTCCTCACCTATCGCACCTTCCTGCCCGGCGCCAAGCACGTGGGCGAAAAGCTTCTCGAGTGGTTTGGCGACACGAGCCTCCGGGACAAGGTGCTTTGCCGGCGCGGAAGCACTGCACGTGACTGTTTCCCCCCCCGAACTAAATCTCGCTCGCCCATCGAGATCTCTCGGCCTCGCCGGCTTCCCGTCCGACTGCTGCGAGATCCTTCGTCCTCGCGGTTAAATCGCATCCACGGCCTTTCCCCCCCCCCCCGCCCACCCCACCCCCCCCCCGCTCTTCTTACCTCCACCTCTACGACCTCCTGCACCCCCACGTCCCTGCCCGCTCCCTCTACGTGCCGTCGCCTCCTCCTTGCTCCCAAGATTCCCGCTGCTCCACCGTTGGTGGCCACTCCGTGTAGCCACCACGCCTCCCCCACCCTCTAGAACTCCCTCTCGGGACAGCAATGCCTGGTCTCTCGCTCTCTCTGCTTTCTACATTATTGTCGAGTGTGCTTTCGGACCCGCATAGCTGCTTCTTTTGTCTCCTCCTGCTGCCACGCTCGCTGCTTCCCGTTCTGTCCCTTTTCTCCCCCCTCGTAATTCGGCGCTGTGAGACGTTCGGTGCGTTGTGAGTGTGTTGCAGTGTGGGTTGTTGTTGTTGATGTCGTGGTGATAATTTAACACGACCGAGAGCATCAGTGATCCTGCCCGTGATTGGCTGCTGATTGTCGCCACGATCCCCCCTCCCCCCCGGGTAAAGCCCCTGATTGGTTGTTTGTGGCCGTGTGCCCAGGTGACTAGAGTGGTTCTCCTGTGGGTGAACAATCACTTCAACGACTTTGAAGGGGACCCAGAGATGACTCAGTTCCTGGAGAAGTTCAAGGATGGCCTGGAGAGAGAGGTGGGTGCTTGTGAACTTCGTCTGCAGACCTTGTTGCTGTTGTCGATCCGGGACAGTTTCTGTGATGATTCATGGAGCATTCATTTGCATTAAATGGACCATCTGGTAAACCACTGCAGTCTTGAGCTCCTTCAACCGAGGAAGAATAGCAAAACTCTACGAATGCCCTCCTTGAAGCCCTCTTGTCATGGCTAGCAGGCCTTGACAATGGCATTTAGCAATTAACGTATTGCCGTGTGCAAGGATATAATACTGTATATATAATACTGTATATATAATACTGTATATATAATCATATGCTTCTGACCGAATCGCTGGGAATGCACCCGGATCTCATCAGATCATTGCAGAAATCCTAGCAGGGTTGGACCTGGATGGCGCTTGAATGGGCTACCACCATGCACAACAGGCTGCTGCGTGGCTATATTGTCAGCATACGAGCCGTGCATTGGAGTTCATCATTGTGATGTACAATGCTCAAGTCTATGTGCTCTGCGTTTGCCCAAACTAGATTCACCTCCTATCTAGGCAGGGATGCGTATCAATGCTGGAGGCAATTGGGTGTTGTTTGAAACCTAAATGGGATCCATGAGTCAAAATGATTCCCTGCTCAGATGAGCCTTGGGCAGTTGCTCAGCATCTCCTGCTTGCATCCCCGAAGCCAGTGGTGGAAATTCCACGTTCCTATTGTGGGGGCGAGTTAATCACGATAGAATAACCGCAGCTCAGCCTGCAATGAGCAGTCTCCGTTGAGTGTGCAGACGCATCTGCCAATACTTCATTAATTAAGCTGTATTTATTTGAAATGCAATTCAAATGTGATTCAAAACAACTGTAAGTGCCGCAGCGACATGCGATATTGCACCATTACAGTCGGACTGTGCTCTTCCAGTTGAACACTGTCCTTGTCACTGACGGATCGCCATTCGCGCTTGTTGTATGCACTTTTAAACACATCGGCCCGCGTGCAATCGGCAAACACGTTCACAACCGGCTCGGCGGTAGCCTTGGCACAAAGGAACAGATCTTCCGTATGTAGCCTCATCAGGCTGTCGGGGCAAGTGCTGTTAGCGAGCGACTATGAAGGCCGGCACGGCACACCAGGAGGTGGGTGGCCAGCACCACGCCCGGCCATCTGTGTCACTGCAATGGCGGTGTTCACACATTGCACCAGGTACTCATTTGAGGCTGAGTCAACCTCTTGGAGGCCCAGTACTGGTTGAAACATTCACCACTGTTATTGATCGTGAGCGGGAATAGAACTCGTGTCGCCGGGTTCGTAGTGCAGCGCGCTTACCACTACACTCCCTCTCCCCTAGCCTTGGCACGCAGGAGGGTGAACGGCCCGCTTATAGAATTCCTGCCTTTTTTTCACTTTTCCGCCAACGTAAATCTGCGAGCCTCTCTCGCTTGTCTGCGAGCACGCGCGTGCTTAAACAGCCGAGTGCTTTGACCTTGCTCCCCGTGTGTCCAAGGGTTCCGAGTTATCTTTCATCCGCCCGTTTTTGTATCGACTCTTTGAGCGAAGTGTTTGTCTTGCGGTGCCATTCCATCGCTTTGACACATACAATGAATGAATGCGTGCAGACGATGCCAGCATTGTTTGTTGTCGACATTTTTTATTACGATATATATTAAAGAATAATTCCAACTTGTAACAGCAGGCTGCATGGTATTCACTCGCCCTCGAAGTAAAGGGAGCAACTCAGAGGAGCGAGGAGGAACCACAGACTAGCGGAAATGCAGCCACACAATGATCCGGCGCCAACTATTGCCTAAGCTCTTCAGCCCTCTTATATGTTAAGGTGTTATCGGCCAGTTATTGAATGCTTAAATTTGGGAGCAAAATCGGTGCACCTGGAGAAAACCCACACATGCGAGTGGGGAATACTCTATACCATGAACTTGGAACAGCTGGAATCCACATTTTTTTGCTGTGCCGCATTTGCCTTGCGAGCCAGGGTATTACTCCTGGACGCCCACGGGAAGGGAGTTTCATGACATTTGTGTGAACCACCAACCCCCGCTACCTCCACGGTGCTGGATTATAGGCCACGTGCATAACCACCACTGCCCGGCTAACCGCTCACTTCGTATCAATTTTACTGCACAATCGTACGCTGACCGTGTCACGCGTGCCGAGTCGCACCCGAGTCAAAGTGAGAACGCGAATCGCCCCACCTCACGTCTTTTCCGCGCCTTTCCTCCCGCTGCAGAAGATGCAGGGCCACCTGCGCCTGTTGAACATCGCCTGCGCCGCCAAGGCCAAGAGGCGCTCGCTGACGCTGACCCGGCCCGGCCGCGACGAGCCCCTGCCCTTCACGCTGACGGGCGGCAGCGAGCGGGGGTTCGGCGTGTTCGTGGAGAGCGTGCAGAGCGGCAGCCGGGCTGACGAGGCCGGGCTCGGACGCGGGGACCAGGTGAGCCGAGCGGGCCGCGGTCGATGCATCGCTCGCTGGGATGGCCAGTCGCAGGCCGGTGCTGCGTCACACCGTTGTGCCGCACAGGGGCAGCTGCCACCAGGGGTCCTGGAGAGAGAGTCAACGTTGACCGACGACGATGATGATGATGAGTGTGGCCTCACCTGCGTTACGTGGAGCTAAGACGAAATTATTTTCTGAGCACCTGTTCAAGAAATACATGGAATGAATGTAGTTTCTGGAAAGCAAAGTGACCAGATCAAGCAAGGAGAGGTCATAGAGATAACAAGATCGAATCAAAGCGTTTACGGCAGTCTTCATCGAAGCCTATCCGTCATTATTTCTTATCATATGTGGGGATGCTGCTTTGCCACTGTACTCACAACAGTTGGTACGTAAAAAGGGTTTGTTTACTTGACGAAGCAGAAAGAATATTACACGAGTTGGAGGATCATCTGTGGGTTACGTCCTTTGAAAACTTCGTGCGAAAAAAAGAGTTCGGTGGGGGGGGAAAAAACTACAAAAAACGACGACCAAAAACAACAACAACAACAACAACAAAACAACAACAACAAAACAACAACAACGTGTCCACCTGTAGTCTGCACGAGCCCACGTGACGTTGCTGCTGTGCCGCACCACGCGGGCGCGCTTGCGATGTCACCAAATTTTTTCGCGGGTTTTTGCCGTTTTATCTGTTTGTTCGGGCAGATCCTAGAAGTGAACGGGCAGAACTTCGAGAACATCCAGCTGTCGAAGGCGATGGAAATCCTCCAGCACAACACCCACCTGTCCATCTCCGTCAAAACAAACCTCATGGGTGAGAAGCCGTCGCGGTCGCCCCTCGATTTGCAACTCGGTCATCGAGCGTCCCCCTCCCCTTCCACATGTTGTGCTTTTGTTTTAAGGTGCGCTACATTCTAAATGGGCTTCGCCTCTCACGGATACGGTTTGCCTCGAGCTGTTTTAACGCCTTCACTCGTTCTTTTTTTTAACGCCAATTCCAGACTGAGCCAAAATCAATTTGACCGTTGATTTTCTCGCAAGTGTCTGCAGCCTCCACTTGCAGCATATGTCAAGTACGCTTAAATTACACGTTCAGGCTTTTAGGTTTGTGCGCCACGCGGTGATAGCTTCTGGAGTAACGCCGACTGACACTTGCGGCGGGGAGGGGTCACCCTTTCTCTAACACGAGAAAGCAGTTGCAGGGGCTGCACATTTACATTCTCTTTTTTTTTACCATTCATCGTGCCCACTACTACGAGCCAGCACGCTCACCTCCGTTCTCCGCTGCTCGGCGGTCGCTCGCCCACACCCTCCCCCGCCCGCCCCCCAGTGTTCAAGGAGCTACAGAACTGGACGGGCGACGAGCCCGGCCCCTTGAATTTCGCCGGCCGTTGCGGCGCCGCCGCCGCCGCCGCCGCCGCCGCCCCCTGCTCCTCCTCCGGCGCCGCGGCTGAGTCTCACCGGCCCAGGATCGTGGACGGCGGTAACGCGGTGCGCCTCTCGGTGCCCGATCTGGCCGTGCCGCACGAGCTCGTCATCCCCGTCGAGAAGCTCAAGGGCAAGGGCAAGGCGAGCACGGTGAGCGGCCGATCGCGGCTGAGGAAGTTCGTCAACAAGACCTTCAGCATCCTGCCCACCAAGCCGTACGGGTGAGAGGAGTTTTGCCGTCGGCGTGCGCTCCGCTGTGTTTTGTGCCTGCCCGCGCGTCTTGCCGCTGAAGCGTTATTTCGCGACGGGGGGGGGGAGCGCGCCGACGGTGGCTCGGTGCGAGAGCGGGCGGCTCGCGGTCGGAACGTCATCGCCTTCGGGGGTCGATAAAATGAGTACTATTTTTGCATACCCCAGTTTGGTCATGTACGGCAGCTTGATAAATAATAACCTAGCTTTGGGAAGCCTACATGCAGCAGTGGCGCCAGCCCACCGCATGGCTGGCGTCCCCACTCGTCCGCGGATTCCTCGCGCCTCCGAGGCGTTCTCTCTTCAAGAGCGAGCGATTGCCGCGTGCGTTGCGCGTGGAAATTATTATCGAATGGCAGTCATTGAAAGTTTTTTTTGTGCTGCTGCTGCTGCTGTTGCTGCTGCTGCGTTTCGAATTCAAAGCGGCGGCGGCAGCACCGAGGTGAAGATCGGGCAGTCGCAGGACGACAGCATTGTGGGCCTCAAGCCGCCCGTGTGCGGCACGTCCACGTGGATGATGCGCGGATCCCTCTCCTCCAGCAACCCCGACCTCCTGCAGTGCCACCGGCTCATGGACTTCACCGCGCCTCCCGGTGAGCCGCCGCCCACCGACGACAGTCCTCAGTCTCCGCCCGGCACGGCCGCGCGCCGCGGCCGCCGACTCCCTCGTATTGCCAGGGTCGCGGTCTGAGGCTTCGTGTGGGACATTAGGCTGAGTTTGCCACGTGGCGCAGCGACGTTTCCCCCTCGCGCAGCAGGCTCGCCGAGGGGGGGATGAGCTCCGCCCCGCGGTCGTTGGAGTGGGGAGACCCCATTGGCTTTTTAACCGTTGTCTAAGCACCCTCTGTGAAACTTCACGTAAGTAGATCATTCACACGGACACTAATTGCGTGCTTGATTACAACGGGGGCAGCGTTTTGTACGGCGACACGTGGGATGACCAATTCCTCACCGTTCACTCCGTATCCGACTCGTCGGCTCGCCCGCTCGCTAACTCGCCCAATCGCCTGCCCCGCAGACGTCCACGACCAGGTGCTGCGCATTTTCAAGGCGGACCAGTCGAGCCGCTACATCGTGATCGGGCGCGAGACAACCGCGCGCGAGGTCGTCACGCTGGCACTGCAGGAGTTCACGCTGACGGGGCCTCCCGACTCCTTCTCTCTGTGCGAGGTGTCGGCCGCGCCCGACGGAGTCACGCGCCAGCGTCGGCTGCCCGATCAGCTCTCCCGGCTAGCCGAGCGCATCCAGCTGAGCGCCAGGTGCCCCCCACCTCCTCCTCGCGCGCCACCTCTCCCGGGCCGACCCTTACGTGAATATTGCGATTGGCTATCTTAGGGCCGGCAGGATTTGTTCTGGAAACCTCCCTTGGGCCTCTTTCTCCACTGTACGACCATGCCGCCCCAGGGCCATGTCGAGCCATTCCTGGCACGGCTCAAGAAGCGCCGGGTTTGGTTTTCCACTGCAGAATCTGAGCCGTGCTACTTATGTCACAAACAATGAATCAATAATTATCCCCACCCCCGACCTTACTTGGCCCCGAGCAAGATTTAAGTGGCTTTTGAGGCCAGCATCCTAATGGTTTGGTTTTGGCTCGGCATGGCAAATAACCAGTAGAAAAGCACCTCTACTGTGAGGTCTCCGTGCTGGCTCAGGTCAGATGTGCCAGTGGAAATGGGGCATTGCAGCCTCACTACCGCATCAAACCCATGCACATGGGACAATGCGGAAAGGCGTGACACATGGAGTCTGCCTATTCACACTTGCAGATAAAAAAAGTGGGACTGGGAAACCTAGTTTTGCCTCCCAGCCCAAATTCAGTGCCTGCTTATTTTTTTCAACATCAGATATTTGAGTGTGATTCTGAACCCCACGCTAACCCTGACCTTTACAATCTTATTAGGTTCCTGCTCCTGCCCCTACAGTCGACACCGGCAATTGAGAGACTTTTTTTAAAATTGAAGCCGATTAAAATAGTGGCGTGTGCGCTACGTTCCCAGTGAAAATCTTGTGGTTAACTTTTACCCCGAACATTGACCACCACACCCGGCACGTCTCCCCATCCCCCCTTCTCCCCCACCCTGCTCCTATCGTGCTGTTGTATTGTGTTTCACGCAGCTTCACAGCCCCACTTTCTGCCCCCCCCCCCCCTTCTCTCTCCCCCCCTACCCGCCGAGGCCTACTATATATAACAGCCTGTCGTGGCAGCTCTCTCGCCTACTTCAGCAGTTTTTTCTTGCTGTGTTTGTCCCACCTGATGACGATTGCTCGTGTTGCGATCGAAGCGTCGTGATCTATTATTGTTTCTACCTACGTGACTTTACCGGAAGAACCAAAGAGTATGGATTCCTGCAGTCAACGAAAGCTTCAAATCAAGATTGTATTGTGTTTGTTGTGCCCCTACTGGACATCTGTGAAAAAGAGCTTCATAGCTCATCGGATTTCTCCAATATGAAAAAATATTCTGATTCTGTCTCCCCCCCCCCCCCCCGTTCACCCCCCCCCCCCAAATCGCCCCCCACCCACCTCTGCCCCCACCCGCGGCGCAGGTACTACCTGAAGAACAACATGGAGACGGAGACGCTGTGCTCGGACGAGAACGCGCAGGAGCTGCTGCGCGAGGGCCAGGTGTCCCTGCTGCAGCTGAGCACGGTGGAGGTGGCGGCGCAGGTGTCGATGGGCGACTTCGAGCTGTTCCGCACCATCGAGCCCACCGAGTATGTGGACGACCTCTTCAAGCTGCGCTCGCGCACGGGCACGCGTGCCCTCAAGCTCTTCGAGGGCGCCCTCAACCAGGAGACGTTCTGGGTGGCGTCCGAGGTGCTCGCCGAGCCGGGCCAGATCAAGCGCGTCAAGGTGCTCAAGCACTTCATCAAGATCGCGCTGCACTGCCGCGAGTGCAAGAACTTCAACTCCATGTTCGCCATCATCAGGTGCGCGCGCGCGCGTGCTGGGATTTTATTATTTTTATTATTATTATTTACGTGTTTTTGTTCCCCGGACATGTTCGCTGACCCGCGGGGTGGTTCTGGGTCAGCGACACACACGCATAAAAAATGTTCGCATCACCGGGCGCACACCACCGCATCCAGTAAATCTCTCGGGTACGGCCGTGGCCACGGGTGGCATTAATCTCGGGGTCCTCGCATGCTCCCTCCACACCATTTAGAATCGACACGCGTTTAGAGTGTTTGGCTGCTATACATTTACACAATGATAAGCCACTTCATTGGGCTACCCATTTGTGGCCGGGTCGCTTCTGAAAGAGGGCTCTACAGCTCAGCGGCCCCTTACCTGACGAAATAAAAAAAAAAGCGAAGTTTAACATTCCACGTGCTTGTGCGGGATCGACCGACGCGCTCGGCCCGGTCCCCTCGCAGTGGCCTGAGCCACAGCTCGGTGGCCCGACTCAACGGGACGTGGGAGAAGCTTCCGACCAAGTACGAGAGCCTCTACCGCGAGCTGCAGGACCTGTTCGACCCGTCGCGAAACATGGCCAAGTACCGCAACGTCCTGAGCAGCCAGAGTCTGCAGCCACCCCTCATCCCGCTCTTCCCCGTTGTCAAGAAGGACCTCACCTTCCTGCACGAAGGTACCCGCCCGCTCGACCCGGCTCCGCGCGTCGACGCGAGTCCCAGCGCTGGGAGATGGTGCAGAGGCCAACGCTGCCTTTTCACCGTCGCCAGGAACCGGGCTGGGTTCACACCGGCACCTGCGACGAGCGCGGTTGGCTACGTACGGTGCCAACGTGCACACGTACATATACCGCCTCGCACCAAGCGGGGCGTCGTTGGGCAAATAACGTGCGACGCCTTCAAGCTCTGCAAGGCGCCCTTCGGTGAACGTGGGCGACTCGCGCTCGTGCACTAGCCGGGGCGAGGCAACGGGGGTGTCTCCCTGGCAGATCCGGGTTTTTTCCTCGCGCGGCCGGGGTCGGAGCTGTCGTCCCCGTTGTCTCCGTGCCCGCCGCGACCGAGCGCGTCGCGGGTGCGGCTCGAGGAGCGGCGGGCGCCGTGAGCGGTCGCCGCTCACTGTCGTGCAGCTGCCGCATTCTGAAGCCTCCGAGAGAGACGCGCAAACAAAGCAAAAACCAAGGCAGCTTTTTTTTCCCCTTTCGAAGCATTCGAGGGTACCGATGGCAAAATGTTTTTTTGCCGACGAGGCAAACAAGGCCGCCACATCCGGATACCCATTGTAGGCCGCGTTAACAACATCGGCGAACACCGGGCTCCAACCATGCACGCTGCATTGCTACCTCGCTGTCGTGCCGTCTAACACGAGGAGGTGCATGTCTATTTTTATATTTGAGATTTTTTTTTTCCTTCAGGCAACGACTCGCGGGTGGACGGGATGGTGAACTTTGAGAAGCTGCGAATGATCGCCAAGGAGGTCCGCCAGGTGGTGAGAATGGCCTCCGTTGGAATGGACGCTGCGGCCATGTTCCGACACAGGTGAGGCGACGGGGAGCGTTCACCGCTCATGAACAATAATGTTTGAACTTTCCCGCTAAATTGTATGCGTGTCTGTTGAGACTATACGGGGAGTCTTTGTTGTGTGTGTGTGTGTGCGTGCACGCGTGTGTGTACAAGTGGATAGCGGTAGTGTAGCGTTACAAACCCCGTTCGACCCAAGTTTCATACCCGCTCATGGCCAGTTCCTGGGCCTGCCCTAGGTCGACTCAGCCTCAAATGAGTACCTGGTGTGGTGTGTAACCATCGCCACCAGGGAGACAAAAGCGGTTGGGTGTGGTGCTGGCCACCCACCCCCTCATCTGTCCTCCCGGCCTTCATAAGCGCTCGCTAACAGCACTTGCCCCAACAGCGTGTTAAGGCTATACGGGCGATCTTTGTTTGTGTGTACAATCGGTGAAGTAAAACCCAACGCAGCTAATGTGTGAGACGATTTGTTTCGTAGCATGGCTCTGCTCGTTAGTTGTGCACTTCTGTTGTGGACTCTCACTATTCATGTCCCCTGTTCATGAACAAGGACTGGTTGTCCTAGAAGCTTTGTGGCCATGCTGCATCGCTTTGGGCCACTGTGGAGACCTTGTGCATTCAATGAATATTATCTGCAAAAATGTTTTAGACTTGTGTATATATCGGCAAGGCCATTTGTGCAAGCCTTATGCCCTCCCATGGCGTGTGCCTTAATCACACACACGCATAATAAGGAAGACATGACCGTCACTTAATTGAAATGTAAAAGAGTAAATTAAGTACAAGGAAGCCACATCATGGTCTTGGAAGTTTATCGCTCTCTCTCTCGCCACCTTCGCTATCTCTGTTGAGTCGCTTTAGTTTGGCTGAATCTTGGTTGAACTTTTGTTAAATATTTCAGTTTCTCGGCAGTAAACACACAGAGAAGTAAGAGGGTGGGAACTAGGGGACTGAGTAGCCGGGGGGGATGGGAAATAAAGAACAATGGTTCCACAATGCAACAATCCACCCAGCACATGGACACGAGCTGATTTTCGTCATTCCATCTCTACGCTAGATGTCCTCCCTTTTGCGCACGCTCCAATATTTACAGTAACCGATCCATCTTTATTTATACACCAGCGAGGTCCCTGATGTCTCGGGATCGCCTTCTTCTGAGTACTCCGAGGTCAAGGTTCAATCCCTGGGGTGATCGGGCTTTGCCAGTGCAGCTCACAAGCTTTGGAACGCTTTTGCCCTTTGGTCATAAGACAATCAGAATCGTCAGCTATATTTAAAATGGCCTTTAACTCCATAGTTCTCGCCACCTACCCTTGCAGGTCTGTATCATTTAAGTCCTGGTTTTCCATACACGGTGGCATTGGGATCTTACGGATGAAATGCACCACTTTACAAATGTAAATTATTGTTATTTCCTTGGCTGCAAAATCCGTCATTATTCTTGATCATTGTGCCATCATCCCTTCTAGCAATGTGCCCTGCCTCTGACAATTGTTAAGTAATTGTCCTTGATAAAAACTACATCTTTCCAATGCTTTTACCCTCCAGTGCCCTGTTACTATCTCCCTTCACCTTGTAAATATATATCGCTGTGCTTACACAATTTGCTGCTGCTGTCGGGCCAATTAATTGGATTTAATTGGTGCCGGGTCTTGTTTGTTTTTTGGAACAAAGACAATGTCCACTGCTTCACCGATTGATAACCCAACCCTAATTACCACTGCCAGTCATGGAACCCTGGAGCCAGGCTGTGTCTCCATTGTGTTTGCCATGCATTTGTGTCATCGTGTTTGTGTCTTTTGTGGTTGAGATGCCCCCAGTGTCTGGACTGCTCGGATAAATCATCAATTTGTCACAAAAATGTGGTTATTACAGTGAACCGTGGCACTATTGAAATACTACTACATTAGCAGGTTTAAGTCTAAATAATAATACTAATACAAATCAGAACATTATTTGCTTCTCTGACAATTGTTATCAAATTTGATTTACCCAACAAAATAAGCACTCGAATACTCTGCAGCAATGTGACATTCTAGAGTTATAATTGAGTGCAGTGAGCTGTGTGGCACTGTGGTAAGACCACACGGCTCATGATTAGCGGGTTAACGCAACCACTATCATTCCAGCAGGGTTGACGATACAAGTGCCACTTTGTTCTCTGGATTATCTGACCCCTGCCAGCACTGTCTCAGGGCCCTAAACAGAGCAGGAAGCACCTTAAGTCATATTCATCCAACGGTAGCAGCTGTTTGCTGAATACGTAGAGAGGTGATTCCTAATGTGCGCCGAAGATGCACGTGCATTTTGCACCGTGCTTTTGTCTGACGCAGTCTCTGTGCTGGGGCCTTCATGTTTCATTCTTTCACTGTCACTTTCCCGTTTGTCTTTGCCCTCTGGCCCTGCCTCCGTCCTTCCCCTCTTTTTACCTTCGCCGCATTAAAAAAAATACTTTTCTCTGCTCCGTTTCCCAACACCTTACCTGCCCCGCTAACTGTGCCCTGCCCATCAATCAACCATCACCCCTCTCCCTCCCGTATTACACACAGGCGTAAAAGGTGGCGCAGCCTCGGGTAAGTCGGTGTCCTTTATGCCAGCACACGTAGCGGAGCCCTGTTCACAAAGCGCCCTGTCTGTTGCCAGGGATCTTAACTCGCGATCCGTGTCGCCATCGATCCAGCGGGGAGAGTTCGCCAAATGCGCGCACGATAGGTTGAATCGGGGCGGATCATTGGTTAAATTCCATGGCGACGATTGCCGTGCGTACGGACATCATTCTCACATGCAGTGCTGTGCTGCCTATGACTGTTGTGGACCAGAGGTCCATTTGAAGGGATCTTCAGAGGTAGCGTTTCGATAGCCACTTCTGTGGGACATTCTCAAACGCGAAGAGTTGCACTGCTCTGTGAGCGATGCCACGGTTACTTTGTCTCGTGACATGATATCGAGAGCATGATCGAGGTAAAATTTGGGGGATGCCACCTGAATGAATAAATAAATCTTAATCTGGACCCTCGGTGATGGGAATATTTCAAATGGAGAGTACCCATGTTGGCATAGATTCCCAGATTTTTTTAATGCCCAGAGTTATTACCTTTGAGCCTTAGCTCTAGGGTGTCCCCTCCTCCAGGCCTTGCATTGAAGAGGCAGGATGGCTTTTGTGGCACAAGGCTCCTTACCAGTCTCACTCGCACCAGTGTAGGCATGCCTGCGATTTCACCTGATTCCAAGCACTGCCCGTCTTCTGTCTTGGAAAAGAAAACTCCACCCATGTCTGTCGGCAAGAAAGGATGGCCTTCACACGTAATTACACACACACGTATACATACATTCACTCTGGCTTTGACCTAATGGGCACAGATTTGCTTTGACCTGGTTGTAATGGGTTTGCTGATTTTAAAAATTGAAACGTTGTCCTGGCGTGTAATTATTCTGCAAACGCATCTGCTGGCATGCACAGGTGTGGTTGAAATGCTTTGAGGTCATATATCAGCCCACGATATTGGCAAATATTATTTCAATCCAGTGTCCGACTCGCCAAATCACGGCGAGCGCTAGGCAATGGGATATTAGCACTGTCCCATGGATTTTTATTAAAGTGCCATACAGCGTCCAACCCATTACAACGACGTCCAATTTTTACCGCACTGCTAAATTCGAATCATGCAACATGATTTGAGTTCGTCGGCTGCGATGCTGCGAATCCTTCTTCAAGTTAAAGGCCGAGCGTGCAGAAAGATTCGAGCGTTGGCAATGTTGAAAATATATTGACCTGACGTGGAAGCACTTGCAGCATCACCGCTACGGTATTTAGGGCCACACAGCCTTTTCAATCACTGCTTGGGCATTCGCATCAGTGTGGCTGTGCGCTGCGTGCAGGAGGCAACGCATACCCCCTGTAGAACACGAATGAGTGCTGTTCCATCGGCGAGGCTTGTACGTGCATACGTTGAACTTCTTTCGCACCGTACGTAGCTAATCGGAGGTGCCGGGGAAGGACGACAAACTAAACACAAAAAGCAGTTCTAAAGGCCATTTATTTCAATCGAGATTTTAAAAGTGCACGGGCTTCCAGTGGCTTCCTGACATCAGAAGGGGAAGCTTGGTCGGACGTCGAACACCGCTGGAACAACATTCCTCCTCCTGCTCCAGGTCCATAAGCCAAGGGAGCTCCAACTCGGCCGTGTTCGACGCCATCCAGGCGTCGGGCCACCGCAAGCGCGCGCGCCGCAGCTCACTCGTCAACCCGCGCAAGCTGTACGAGGAGGCGCAGATGGGCCGCAAGGTGAAGCAGTACTTGGGGCAGGTGAACAGGGACGTGGACGAGGACAGCCTCATGACGCGCTCCGTGGCGCTGGAGCCGGCCAGCGCGCCCCGTGAGTACTCGGCGGGCGCGCGTTTGCGTTGCCTTGCGGCGTCTGTCTGTCTCTTGCGGCGTCTGTCTGTCTCCTGTGGCGTCTGTCTGTCTCCTGTGGTGTCTGTCTCTTATGGCGTCTGTCTGTCTCCTGTGGCGTCTGTCTGTCTCTTGTGGCGTCTGTCTCTTGTGGCGTCTGTCTATCTCTTGTGGCGTCTGTCTCTTGTGGCGTCTGTCTGTCTCTTGTGGCGTCTGTCTGTCTCTTGTGGCGTCTGTCTGTCTCTTGCGGCGTCTGTCTATCTCTTGCGGCGTCTGTCTGTCTCTTGTGGCGTCTGTCTCTTGTGGCGTCTGTCTGTCTCTTGTGGCGTCTGTCTCTTGTGGCGTCTGTCTGTCTCTTGTGGCGTCTGTCTGTGTCTGTCTATTGTGGCGTCTGTCTGTCTCTTGTGGCGTCTGTCTCTTGTGGCGTCTGTCTGTCTCTTGCGTGTTTGTCCTTCGCTCCGTCTCTCTCTCCAGCCGCGCGTCTCTCCGTGTGTCGGTTTGCGCGAGGCGTCAGTGTGCCTGTCTGCGTGTCTGCCTGTCTGTGAGTGTTTGCGTGTGTGTGTGTGTGTATGCATGTATCAATGCACGTTTGCGGCTCGCTGCACGCCGTATATGTTTGTCTGTCTCTCTTCTGGCCGCGTGGTTTTCTTTCGCTTCGTCTCGCTCTCCGGCCGTGCGTCTGTTTGGGCAACTCTCTGTGTGGGCCTTGGTCAATCCACTGCCGGATGAGGGGGCCCTCCCCCACGCTTGCTCGCACAGCTTGCGCAATCCCGAGCCGAAAACGATCCAACCTCCGTCGGCTTTGGGCGCGAGACCTCCGCAGTATTCCTCGTCCCGAACATGGGAGCACGCGCGTACGCCTCAACCGCTTCCCCTCTCCCTGCCCTCCCCCCCCCGCCCGCCGCCACGTCCCAGCAGCGGCGCCACGCATCCCCTGCGAGCGCAAGACGGCCAAGTCGGCTGAGAGCTCCCCCGTGGTGACGCGGGCCCCCATCCTCAGGCAGGGCGCCTCCAGGTGGCCTCATGGGACACCGGCCTCCACAGCAGCGGGGGCTGCCACCCCGGCCGCCCCAATGTCCCTGCAGCCGCCCCGTAAGCGCTTCCCCGCTAACGCTTTGCTTCCTCTTGGTAAGTGGCGCTTGCTGGTTCGGTTTTGTCTTTCCCATGCGGTCGCTCTGGCTGTTGTGGGATTGCTGTGTGTGTCGGCCGCCTCCTGTTCCTACTCATTGTGCTGTCGCTTGGCTGTTGTTGGATTGCCGTGTGTGTGTTGGCTGTCTTTGGTTGTGTCATGCGGACGTCCCACTGCAATTAGAATTCTGCGTGTGTTTGCTGCGTCACTCTGTTGTCGGAATGCTTTGTTTGCGTTCCCGTCTGTGACTTTTGTGCTCGTGTTGTCTCGTCAGTGCATTCTTTACTTGGCTTGCAGTGCGCTTTCATTCGCTTGCACGATGGTGACGTATCGCACACAAACGTTGCATTCATACAATTATTGTTATGCTCACATGTACAACATTCACAAGGTTATGAGTATTCATTGTATCAAAGTATTGAATGGCGGCAATTGCATCCATGTTTTCAAGTCGGTGACACCGTGTCCCTGCTTCATTGAGCAATGTAGTATTGCTCACCTTCAGTAGCCCTGGGTGACTAACTCCACATTCCTATGGCAGGAACCAGTCTCCATAACATTATTAAAAAGGTTTCCATAGATATAACCGCTCAATCCGAGACATTAATGCTTTGGTCTTGCATTGACCTTGTGCTGTTCGCCTTTTTGGCGTTGTTCTCTGGTCTAACACTGGTGGTGAGACATGGCCATGAAGAAGGCCGTCTCTGGTGTAGGCCAATCTGTTTCAAAGACAACGCGTATATTATCAGAGCACTTTTCTTTGCATCTTTTACCGCAAGTGCGCGTGGTTAGTACGAACTTGATTCCCTGCATTAGTTGTCTATTTGGTGTTTGCCAGAATTGTTAAAGCCTTTTCTTTTTTCATCATCTTTATACCAGAAAGAAGGGTCCCATAGATATCGATAACTCTAGATATTAACAGTAATAAGCAAGGTCATCTGCACGCGCTTATTTAACAGCATTTTTATTCGCATAGGAATTGAAAATGTGAAAGCTGTTCGCCAAGGTAATTGTGCATTTTATTTGACGCTATGGTGGTGTTGGTTCTTCCAATCGTTGCAAAGTGGAACTTTCTTTTATTAGGGTATTTGATTGGGGTAACCAGTGGTGACCAATTGCTAATGCAATTATCGGATTTCCATTATAGGAGCCATTGATTTCCGTGATCATTGATCGCTCTGACCTTTTGCTTTGTCCCAAATGTCAAAGAAATCGCGGCTTGACTAATCGCACCGCTGCTGTTTTGATTATTCCAAACCTAAACAAAGAAATTACACATTCAATCAAGCACTGGCGGACGTACAGAGCACACCATCGCTCAATTCGATTTAATGCTTTTAATGCTCATATCCCAACCGGGCCTTACCAGGGTTAAGGGCTCGCGCTCTCGACCTGGGCGATTCTGCCATTGCGTGAAGGTTGGCGCACCTTGGCCTGCCTATCCAGAGGTCGCCGGTTTGAGTCTATCTCTCGGCGCACCAGTTGGAGCAATGGTGCACGTTTAATTTTCATAAATCACCCACCCCAAACCTTGTCACTGCAGGAATAAATTCGTACCCAACGATTAGTCCACCGGCAGGTCGCGTGTGTGGTGGGGGAAACTGTGGGCACTCCCATCTCTTCCGAGACGTCTGGCCAGCCAGAGAGAGGAGAGGGGGCTCTCTCGGGCTCCCTCTGGTGGAGGCTCTTCCGCCAGCAGTGGCGTTAACAAGCAATGGCAGGGCTCCATCTTTACCTTTTAAACTAAACTATAAACTATTTTTATTTCACCAGGTAAGGCCCACTGAGCTATATAGCTTTTTTTCAGATGCGACCTGACCACAAATGACAGCTCAGCCAAGTGGCTTATCACGTGGAAATTTATGGCCGCCAAATACTCTAAACGACCCGGAGAGAATAAACCACGCGTCCACGGGGATATACATGCAAACTCCAAATATACAGGCATCATCTGGGTCGGGATCGAACCCACGACCTCCTGTATACCAGGCGAGGAAGTTAACATCTCGCCACCGTGGGTGCCCGTTTTACCGTTAAAGCTGCCTAAGGAAATCGAATGACATCAGAACCTGGCATCGTCATCTCGCGGGGAATTTTCGACACCGGACACGGCAGCGGGTTACGACAGAAGTGAATTATTGTGAGCAAGCCTGGACGGTGTTTGTCACCCCTCCTCCACAGGAGCCACTTCACCGAACTCATACCGCAAGCTTCTTGCCCTCTCGGAGAGCCACGCGGACAAGAAGAGCAGATCAGGTGACGAGTCGGTTCCGACACCCCCTGCGTCTCCTCGGACTTCTCCACGACGAGGTGAGGTCCCCGACCCTTGCATTCCCGTACGTTGGTGGAAATGTTAGCGTTGGGTTTTTCGTTTCGTTGCAAAGTGAGCCAGCCGCCTTGAAAGTGTGGTTCACCGGGTTGGCCCACCGTGTTGAGCAGTTCTTCTCTCGAGCTTTCGCCACGCGCTACTGCGCGCATCCCAAAAAGACGGCAGCCGAAAATATAAAGACACCCGGTGCTCGCTGGATGGGATTATGGGTGGCGATTGACATGGCAATAAACAAACACTAAACTTAACGGTTTTTTTTTTCATTTTGCCAGGTAATGGCCGCTGAGCTATGTAACACTTTTTCAGAAGCAACCTGGTCGCAAATGCCTGGTCTCCGGGTCCTCCGGTTTTTCCCTCCACATTTAGAAAAGACGTGTGTAGATTATTTTAATGCTATGATTTTCCACGTGATAAGCCACTTCGTTGAGCTATCATTTGTGGCCAGGTTGCTTCTGAAAAATTGCTATGTAGCTCAGTGGGCCTTACCTGGTAAAATACAAAATAGTTTAGTTTGTAGTAGAAACATTTTCAAAACTGTTGCTTTTCCGTCATGCGATACGAAAGAAGAGGACTGCGAGCTTCTTTAGGAGCTGAATGCGTGGTACGGCAGCTCGAGAGTTTGCTTCGAAGCATATGCGGAGACGTACTTGTTAAATCATCGTGCAGCTATGTTTGAAAAACACACAACACGCGCGCGCACGTTGCTGTTCCCGCAGGCTCTCAGATGAAGCGCAAAAACTCTCAGCGATCTAATTCGGGAGGGTCAACTGCGTCCTCGGCTGTGGAAAATGCCAACAAGAACAACAACACTCCCAGGACGTACGGCATTGGTACGTTCAGGTTTTCAGCTACTGCAGCAAAAAAAGAAAGTACGAGCAAAAAGTCCGTCCACGTTTAAGTGAATACGTCACGTTTATGTCGCGCCTTTTGTTGGCAAATTAACCTTCATTAACGTGCAACGTGCTCGTTAACGCTATGTTCAACTGATAAAGCAGGCGCCTGTCGCACACTCGAAACGCCGATGGTGCAAAAGTAATGAAATCACTTCCTGTGCTCTGTGGATTCTCACATTGCAGGATCACGTTTTTTGTTGTTGTTAAATCGCGTAAATATATTAATGTGTCGTTATACCCGCCACCACCCGGCACAATCAATTAGTAAGGTTTGTTACGTAAACAGAACATGCCAATTTGTTACGAATACAGCACACCGGTGTGTTGGAGAGCCAAGCCACAACATTTACAATCTGAGTACGACGTTTCGCCAGTAATTACAACTAGCTTCATCAGGCGACAGCCAGATTTGTAAAGCCCACCTGTTTCATTCCCTAGATAGAGGCGTAGATGTATTCTTCATTGGGACAACTTGTAAAAACCAAAACTACCAACGAAACGACTGTCTTGATAATAATCATCAATTTATGATTGTGATGATTTGTGACCCGCAGGGTTCACGCTGACGTCTCTCACGGACGTGCGCGCCACGTGCGAGCCTGGGTCGGATGAGCGGGAGGCAGCGGAAGGCCCAGCGAGCGGGGGCCAGCACGAGACCTCCCCTCACGGCCCCGGGGATGAGGTCGGCACCGAGCGACACCCCCTTGGCCTCCCCCCCACAAGGTGAGGAGGAGGAGGAGACTGGCGCGTTTGTGTGATAACTTACGGTGTGTTGGGTTTTGGGTTATTTTTTTACATGTGGATATTTGGAGTTTGCGTCTTCTCTCTCGCCCTGGTCGCGTGGAGTTTTCCTCCGTGTCCTGTGGTTTTTCCCTCCACATTTAGAATCAACATGCAATTTAGATTGTTTGGCTGTGATAAATGTACACGTGGTAAGCCACTTCGCTGAGCTGTCATTTGTGGCCATGTCGCTTCTGAACAAGCAGCTAATAGCTCAGTGGGGGCCTTACCTGGTAAAATAAAAATAGCTTTTTTTATATATATATAGAGTGAGGGAAAAAAGCATTTGATCCCCTGCTGATTTTGTACGTTTGCCCACTGACAAAGAAATGATCAGTCTATAATTTTAATGGTAGGTTTATTTGAACAGTGAGAGACAGAATAACAACAAAAAAATCCAGAAAAGCACATGTTAATTTTTTTATAAATTGATTTGCATTTTAATGAGGGAAATAAGTATTTGACCCTCTGCAAAACATGACTTAGCACTTGGTGGCAAAACCCTTGTTGACAATCACAAAGGTCAGACGTTTCTTGTAGTTGGCCACCAGGTTTGCACACATCTCAGGAGGGATTTTGTCCCACTCCTCTTTGCAGATCTTCTCCAAGTCATTAAGGTTTTGAGGCTGACGTTTGGCAACTCGAACCTTCAGCTCCCTCCACAGATTTTCTATGGGATTAAGGTCTGGAGACTGGCTAGGCCACTCCAGGACCTTAATGTGCTTCTTCTTGAGTCACTCCTTTGTTGCCTTGGCCGTGTGTTTTGGGTCATTGTCATGCTGGAATACCCATCCACGACCAATTTTCAATGCCCTGGCTGAGGGAAGGAGGTTCTCACCCAAGATTTGACGGTACATGGCCCCGTCCATCGTCCCTTTGATGCAGTGAAGTTGTCCTGTCCCCTTAGCAGAAAAACACCCCCAAAGCATAATGTGTTCCACCTCCATGTTTGACGGTGGGGATGGTGTTCTTGGGGTCATAGGCAGCATTCCTCCTCCTCCAAACACGGCGAGTTGAGTTGATGCCAAAGAGCTCCATTTTGGTCTCATCTGACCACAACAATCACCCAGTTGTCCTCTGAATCATTCAGATGGTCATTGGCAAAACTTCAGACGGACATGTATATGTGCTTTCTTGAGCAGGGGGACCTTGCGGGCGCTGCAGGATTTCAGTCCTTCACGGCGTAGTGTGTTACCAATTGTTTTCTTGGTGACTTTGGTCCCAGCTTCCTTGAGATCATTGAGAAGATCCTCCCGTGTAGTTCTGGGTTGATTCCTCACCGTTCTCATGATCATTGCAACTCCATGGGGTGAGATCTTGCATGGAGCCCCAGGCCATGGGAGATTGACAGTTCTTTTGTGTTTCTTCCATTTGCGAATACTCGCACCAACTGTTGTCACCTTCTCACCAGGCTGCTTGGCAATGGTCTTGTAGCCCATTCCAGCCTTGTGTAGGTCTACAATCTTGTCCCTGACATCCTTGGAGAGCTCTTTGGTCTTGGCCATTGTGGAGAGTTTGGAATCTGATTGATTGATTGCTTCTGTGGACAGGTGTCTTTTATACAGGTAACAAGCTGAAATTAGGCGCACTCCCTTTAAGAGTGTGCTCCTAATCTCAGCTTGTTACCTGTATAAAAGACACTTGGGAGCCAGACATCTTTCTGATTTAGAGGGGGTCAAATACTTATTTCCTTCATTAAAATGCAAATCAATTTATAACATTTTTGACATGCGTTTTTCTGGATTTTGTTGTTGTTATTCTGTCTCTCACTGTTCAAATAAACCTACCATTTAAATTATAGACCGATCATTTCTTTGTCAGTGGGCAAACGTACAAAATCAGCAGGGGATCAAATACTTTTTTCCCTCACTGTATATAGCACCAACAACATCAACCTATCACAACCCGTAGATTCTTTTCACGTGGCTGTAAAAAAAACACCGCGGGGCCCGCGTCTTTCCATTCCCGTGCAAATCGCTGAAAACCTTACTCGCGTCCACGCGGGATTCCCCCCCTCCCCCTACAGCGACGACCCCGGAGCTCAGGATGACGCGGGGGCCCTCCTGCACGCCTCCGAAGCGGACGCCGCAGCCGCCGCGGACGACGACGCCGAGGGGGGCGGGCGGTCCCTGCTGCTGCCCCCGTACAGCCGCAACTCGCTCGAGACGTCGGACAGCGGGCGGGACAGCTGGACGTCGTGCTCCAGCGGCTCGCACGACAACTTCCAGGCGAGTGTGTGTGCGCGCCACGATTCCAGTGTTCCCGAGTTCGATTCCCGCTCACGGTCAACACCAGTGACGATTATCTGAACCGGTCCTGGGCCTACCCTAGGTCGACTTGGCCTCAAATGAGTACCTGGGGGCGATGTGTCAACATCGCCACTGGGGAGACAAAGGCGGTCGGGTGTGCTGCTGGCCACCCACCCCCTCGTGTGCTGTGCCGGCCTTCATAGGTTCTCACGAACAGCACTTACCCCAACAGTCTGTTAAGGCTACACGGGGCATCTTTGTCTTTGCTGAACAAAAATAAGAATAGGCTTTACCCTTTCTGGCAATAAAACAGGTGTTAAAATGTTCATTTTGATAATAGCAAAAAGTTCCCATGTTGTAGCTGCTCACCCTGAGCTATAACTGCCCTGATAGTGGCATTGTCCTTGTCCTGTTCGCCTTTTCGCATTCTCTGGTCTGACACTGGTGAGACTAAGCCCTAAAGAAGGCCGTCTCTGATGTAGGCCAATCAGTTAAAAGAACAATGCATGTGTAACAAACAAAAAAATTGTTCCTGGGTAGTAAGTGTTATTTCCTAATTGCTTATGCCTGAAAAGTACAGAAAATGGCTATTATTCCCCACAAACTTTGCTTTTGTGACCAGGACAGTGATATTTTGAAATGTACCTATTTTCAATGAGAAAAGTGTGCATTTGTGTCATTCCTTCACACAAAGTCGTGGTCACAAAAGCAAAGTTTGTGGTGAATAATAGCCATTTTCTATATTGTTTAGGCATAAGCAACTAAAACATAACACTTAGTACCCGGAACAAAAATTGTGTTACATAGTGAATTATCAGAGCATGTTTGTTTGCATGCTTTGCCACAGCTACCTGTGGTTAATGCAGACTTGATGCCTTGAAATAGGTTTCTGTTTGGTGTTTGAACATCTTAACACCCGTTTTATTGCCAGAAAGGCTGAAGCCTATTCTTATACTTTTCATAATTTTGATGCTGGAAAAAAGGTCCCATAGAGTGTATATGTGTGTACGTTGAACTTCTTTCACACCGTACGTAGCCAAGCGTGCTAACCGGAAGTGTGGGCGAAGGGCAACAAACTAACACACAAAATGCAGCTCTAAAGAAACAAGTTGTCGGTGTACATTTAAAAGTGCTATAGCTCCATTGGCTTCCTAATATCGGAAGAGCGTTCCTGACGGCCGCAGAAGCGCACCTGTAAGCGCGCGATGCGGTGACCGTCTTTGTAAGAGATGGCGGCAAAGGGAGGGGAACCTCTTCCGAGATGACGTCCACTGCTGGCGTTCGGGCGAATCGTCACCCCCCCCCCCCCCCCCACAGGAGCTCCGTGAGCAAAGGCAAAACCCCGTGACGCGCGATGTGCAACGCGCGGCGCACAAACCACAAGACAAACTTTCCTCCTCCCGCCCCCCCGCCACCGGGGTCTCTCGCGCACGATGCAGGCGCTGACGAGCAGCCGCTCTTACTGGAGCGGCTCGGGCGGGCTGAGCACGGGCGACCTGGCCGCCGAGCTGGAGCAGTGCTGGGTCCTGCTGGGCGCCGGCCGCCTGGCGACGAACGCGAGCAAGCGCGCCGTCGCCGCCGGAGACGGCGGCCCCGCCGTCGTCGTCGACGACGACGATGGTGGCGTCGTCGTCCGCGGCGCGGTCCACAGCTCCCCGTCGCTGCTTTCGTCGTTGTCGCCGTCCCGCGAGAGCTGGGCGTCGTCGACGGGCTCGCTGTCTCCGGAGGAGAACGAGGGCGACACGGGCACGATAAAGCGGCGTAACGGCAAGGACTGCCTCCCCGACGCGGCGGGGCGGCGGGACGAGAAGCCGGTGCCGCCCACCGGCGCCGCGCCCGTCGCAGACGGGAGAGAGGATCCGGCGGAGAAGACGCGGGATGCCGAGGTGGTGGTGGCTGCTGCGGAGCCGGCCGGAGAAGGAGGTTTAGTAGGTAAGGTGTCGTTGTCGTTGTTTTGATGTGGATGTGTCGCGCACTGTAGATAGTGCTTGATGTACGGTCAGAATGTGGAAGAGTAAAATACCGCCGGTTGTCTTGGTCTTTCATCCCCCAGGGTGGATGAAAGGCAGCGCCATTTCGAATCGGTCGTGGTGGTCCCATGAAAACACCGAACCTTTTGTAGGATTGTGGATTGCTTTTTAAAATCCAGGTCTCTCTGACGAAAGAGGCTCGTCTCATTGTCTCCTCCGCATGCTTTAGGTCCACTGATTCTCTTCATTGTTACGTACGCTTTGGTTCCAACGCAAGTTGAACTATAAATCGCGTTCATATCGGAACCTTGTTTGGCTTTGTCATGGAGCTGGGCAACATCACATAATGGTGGGGAATTGTTTCAGAAGATGGTTCCACAGAATGAGTCGCATCGGTATCTTGATCCAGTGCAGGATATCACCACTTATATATTTTGAATGTTAAGCCTCATGATTGGACCACGTTTAAGTGGAAGTTTGAATCTACATTATATTGTGCACGGTTTTTGGTGACTGGGCTGAGATCATCTAGAGGCAACACTTGAGCCCAGATTCAAACCCAGGATCTGAGCAGTGCTGGCTCATTGCTCCGATATGGGCATTGTAGCTCACTGAGATCTCGCTGTCATTCATTGTATGAGCCCGAAGGCTCCGTTTTATTAAAAGTAATCGTTTTGCTTTGCATATTACCCTGGCTACAATTGCATTGGACGGTAATAATACACATGCCTTGGCCTCACGCCCGACTGAATATGTAATCACTCTGTTAATAGGTAAACAATTATTTGGCAACCCATTATAATTTACCGTCAGACACAAAAAGCCATTAATTACATTGAATGTACTCATGCATGCAATAAACAGCTCCCAGCATTAAACAGTGTTGAACAAGAGATATACCACACACCCACACATTGTCACGTGGTGAATTAATTAACTCAATGTTGGCCTTCAAAATCCATCTATAAATAAAGCATGTGACCCATGTAACAACAGTTGCCCTGAAAGGTTCATGCACAATCCATCAATTGTTTAAACAGCTAATCATTCATTTAGATAAAAAAAGATCGAGATATGTGTGAATAACGCTGTGGCCATGAAAGGAAAAAAAATATATAATAGCCGACGTTTCAGGCAATAGCTCTTCTTTATAGCACATACATCGATAGCAATGAAGAAAGGCAAAAATAATGCCTCAAACTTTGCCTCGTGTATTTTACCTTAATAAGGCCATAGTGTTATAGACGGATGTGTTGAGGTTTAGTTTATTTATTATTATTAATGCCACTCATGCACCACTGCCAACGCAGCAGCAGCAGCAGCAGCATCACTAATTCATTAATTTATATGTCCGCGGTTTGCATTTTCTTGTTTGCTCTTGCTTGCACGTATTTCGTGTGCCGATATCGTTAGTTTTTTTTACCGTGCCATCTCACGTTTTTTTGTGTTTTTTTTGTTGTTGTTGTAAAATCGCGTTAATTTATTTCGTTTGTTTTGTTTCTCCCATCTCGCCCGCCCCGCGCTTCGATCTCCGCAACGCCCCCAGTGTACTGCGTCACGCGAAAAACCGTGCCCTCCGGCGCGGGTGGCGGCGCAGGAGATCATCCCCCGCATGCCCTGGTCCCCCCGGAAGAGAGCTCCGCTCATTCCGGCTCGTGCCCCGCGCACCTCCACCCCCCGCTGCATGCGACCGCCTGCGATAGTGGCCCCGAGGTGTTGCAGCAGCAGCGGCGGCCGTGTTCCGCCACGCCGGCGATCCGCCCGACGTGGAATGTGCCCAATGTGCTCGGCAGTCAGGCAGTGCATGGACAGGGCTTGCTCAGTTCACCGGTTAAGCAGCAGCAGCAGCAGTATGAGGACGGTAAGCAAGATCGGAGTCAGAATCGGCATTGTTGCCATCGTCGGTGTACGGGCGTGCGAGTTTTGTGAGCAACAATCGGGATGCACCACCGCGTAGGTTTTCGCGGTTGTTCCTGTCGCAGCTCTCTGGTTTTCGTGGTCGGCACCGCGTGTTTGTTCGGCACGACGTCCGACGTTTCCCGGAAACGTGTGCTGCACCCTGGGTCGACAGAAGGAAATGCGTTTTTAAGCCCGTTTCTTACCCTAAATAAAAATGAATATCAATTACATGCAAGGTTAGGCGAAATCAGAATAAGCTGTGCACTGTACCCGAGCGAATGCTCGTTTTTTTTTTTTACAGATGCATATGCAAGCTGCAAACATTTTTTTAAAGCATGCGTGTTTTACTGCATGGTAAAACAAATTTAAACGAACAGCTTCATTGAAATTTACATTGCATTGACTTGCTCCGTTTCTGACTTTTTCTTTGTTCTTCCTCTATTCCAGAGAAAGACCAAGTATCCACCGTGTAGGCGAGAGACGTTTGTGGGGGAGGAGCATTTGGAGGACAGTGGCACACGCGTGCACGCACGTGAATAAGCGAACACCCCCTCTCCCTCGAGACGATGACCCCACGGAACACAACGTTGGGCCTGCAACTTGCGTTTACGAGCCGGAAGGTCTTGCAAAGGGTGGGCGCGATGATCTCTCGCGTTCGGCTTTGGTGGAAAGAAGAAGTCCACCCGCGCTTGACCAGCCGAAAGTCACACCCGCCTACGGCTCGTGACGGCATGTGGAAGTGATGTTGCCGAGTGAAACAAGGAGTTGGGGAGGGGGGGAGGAAGGAGGCTCCCTGAGAGATCGAAGTTTCTGGACATAGCCTGCTCAAGGAGTTTTTTTTTTCTTTCGGTTGGGGGTGGAAAAGTTCCGGCCTGTTGTCCGAGGCTGGTACCACGTAAAGCAACATCCAGGGCGATGACGGCATGATTGTGGTGGTACAAAAAATAAAAAAAAACGTTGCAAACGAGTATTTTGCTTTATTTAATGTCCAACCTGAGCAAGGTGGTGCAACCTTTGGGGGGAATTGGCGAAGGGTTTTGGAGAGACGAATGGATAAAGGTAAAAAAAGGGGCTGGTCTGTGAAAATAATCCATCTTGTCATCTGCACTGCACTTTGTATGGCCTGGTAGGCTCCATAAAGGCCATATTTTACAGCTATTCTTGCGATTTACTGGATAGTCCTAGTTTTTCTATTAATTTATGCTTGTGACTCGTGTAACGTATTAATGTTCAGTTGCTTGAAAGCAAATTGAGTTTACGTATCAAAGTTCTGCAGGGTATGAAGGACGTGTTAGAGTCTTTGTAAAACGAAATTTGACATGGTGTTTATTTGTCCTATACTCTTAAGTTCTATTTTTTCCCAACACCCTATAGAAGAAAGGTCAGTGAAGCTAAGAATCTGGATTCTGATTGATTGAGCCAAACAATGAGAAGCATTTCAGCAATGTAGCAGTTATTGTTCAAATGAAATATTTGAACTGTGATGTGGGCTGGCATTTTTAAATACACCTGCAATCAATGAGTAATTGTGGTGGCATGTTCGTAATGTGCTCTGAATGTGAACGCCGAATGATTCAATTTCAGAGCAATGAAAATCCGGTGTGTTATAAGCAAATGACGAATCTGAGCTACAGTTACTCCCAAGCCACTGGGACGTTATGGAGCAATCGGTTGCCCTTTGGTAAACATGGATTAGGAGACAAATCCAAGCTTGAGTTCATGTCTTCTCATTTAGTCCCCAGTCCGTGCTACAGCACGATCCAATTTGGATTTCCATAAGCGTCGAAATCCACTGAATCTCAAGACGCCATACAGAAAGTTCGGAAGCAGTTGGGCGTATATGTTTAACGGAGAGAAGGGGACAGGCAGTCAGTCGTAGAGAGGAGGAAAGTCCTGAGGCTTGACTGGAGCAGGGGCAGAGAGTCTACAGCGCAGTTTAATGGGGGGAGGGGGGGGAAGGAAGGTTCCAGACTATAGGGTCCAGCAGAGGAGAATTCGTGACCTCCAACTCGGTGAAGGCCGACTGGGGTGGGCTTTGATAGAAAGGCCTCAGCAGCTGGAGCAGAGAGGAGGGTGCATGGGGGAGAGCCGAGGGAATAGAGAGGGGAGAGGCGGGTAGGAGCAAGTCCATGGAGAATCTTGAAGACGGCGAACACCATTTCGACGTGACTTTAATAATACTGCCAATACCAAGCGCTGAGATATCCGTCTCGCAATATGTTTTTGCGCTGAAATAACATTGGCACGACAAGGCATACCGTTTTTTTTAGACATTAACCGCAATAAGCCTCTGATAATATATTCACCCTTGAACGCACAAGGCTATGAAAGAGGAATCTTTAAGAAATAATTGCATACAAATTACAACAGTTCACCTCCACGATATGGTCCGTGTAGCGTTGAAAGAGCATGTGTGCAACTGTGGTGGACATAAACGCTGTCCGCCTTTCTTTTGCCACAGTGCATGCACTGTCCATGACAGAGGCCCGATTCTTTCAGAAACAAACCGGAATGTTTACTTTTTTACTCATTGATCTGGAGACGCAGAAAAAGGTGGTTCAGGCTTGCTTGATTTTTTTAAATTAATCTACTGTATTATTATTATCTGGTAATGTATCACTCACGGATAATTAGTGATTGGTTATTTATCATTATAAGCAGTGCAATTGACCACGGTGTTTTATTATGATTTTGTATACTTTTTTTTCGTGCTATAAATTAACTTTGTAGATAGAAATGCTGCAATTTTTTGCCAAGGAAATGCTAAGAATCCAGGTTCGTAGTTTTATTCCCCACAGTGAGCTTTACCGTTCACTCGTTTACGGGCATCTGTAGTTTAAACTTGTGAAAACTATTTGTTGATTTTTACGTGTGTGTGTGTGTGCGCGCGCGTGTTTGTGTATACGCCCGCGTGTCTGTGTGCGCCCAACATGCGGCAAGATGGGAAAACAGTGTTATGACATTTTGTAAGCTAGTGGAGAAATGTGCAAGGCGCTTGGGTGGGTATCCTGTTGGGTGGCTGTGCACATAGCGAGGCTGTGCATCGGGGTGTCCCTCCACCAGAAATTGATTAAATATTTATGATATCGCAGACTGACTGCTAACACTGGTTATATTATCCTGTACAAAACAGTACTATACATACTGGAAGATAAAAAAAAAGTTTGAATTTGATACCTCTTAGCATGCACTCAAATATGACATTCCTGAAAAGTCTGACAGTTTTTTTTAAGTTATAAATTAATTTGTTCTATATTTAAAAGAACGACGAAAGAATTTGAGCCGGCCGTTATATATATATCTCTATATGTATATTTGACCGGAAACATTCTGATTCTGAGTGCACAGTTCTAACAGTAGGTTATATTGTGCGATTGGTTATTGCTCCTTTGCTGCATGTGCATAAAATGTGAGTTGAATATATTTTGCAAATTCTTTTTTACAAAGCTGAGGTGTGGGGGGAGTTAAAATTCAATATTTTTAAACAGTTGTGTAGCCTGCACTAGCGCAGCTTGCTAAATGTTACAGTAAATATCCAATGTATGCATTGTTGTGAAAGAAAATTTGGTTACAAAAAAAGTTACATTTAACGTGTCATTCAAAAACACTTGAAAAGACGTACAAGAACCTAACCCATATGAATGAGTTTAGGTGGTTTGGCACAAATTTGTCTTTGTTTAAGAAGAAATCGCAAGATCATTCACACCGTTGCCTTAATTTCAAGTTCCAAATATATCTATCTTACGTGGAATTACTTAAACATTGGTCTAAGCTTCGGGGAAATTTAAACTTAAATCAGAGTTGAGAACATGTAGGCTGAGCCAGTTGTGATAGGCCTCGCCTAATCATTTCATGTGTACTTGGGTTGGTGGATGACGTAACGATGGGTGTACAGGACAAATCATATTAAGTACATGCGCTGATAAAAAGAAAACAGCCTCGAGACGACGCGTTAATGGAACGTGCTCATGATAAGTGCACATGAGAAGTGCTCGTACCACCATCGCTGAAATATTATTGCGCGTTTATTTTGACCCATTAAAACGCTCCATTACGTAAATGAAAAAAAAGTTAATGATTAAATCTAAAAAAAAATGACAAAATAATCTTGAAGTTTGTTCTTTTTTTCCCATTTATTTACTCTTGAAGGGGCACTTAAGGTTAGATGTTAAGCAAGCTAGAGATTGAAAAGGAGTAATTGAAACTCCAGTGGTGCATATTTGTAGAATGTCAAATCGGTAGTGCTGATGTGTTAATAGGGATAACTAAATTATATTGAATTGAACCACTCGTATATAAGTGTATTTGGTTACAACTATTCCCAGTAGGACTGTATTTGCAACAGTAATGAGGTTTAATTCTGGCAAATCACACTTCTCGAAAATTGCCTGATGAAGCTTGTTGTAAGCACCAGCGAAACGTCATACTCAAATTGTCAATGTTGTGGGCTTACTTTCCAACACACCACTGTGCTGAAGTAGTAGCTAATTGGCACGTTTTGTTTACGTGACAAACGCGATCTAACCCAAAATAACCTTTATTATGAGTAATGAGATGGGCAGTGTTATTGATGGGATTGTTCTCAAATCAATGAAATAAGTTAAGAAAATATTTTGTTCCCATTGTTTTGACGCTGTGTTTGATTGGTTTGAAAATGGCACGCGCGCACTAATACATTCATGTGATTGGCTCTGTGCATTCTATAATCAAGTAAAACGTCACTAATTCGGACAGCCTTGCGAAATGATGAAAACGTTTATGAATGTCATAAATTCCTGTTTAGAAAAAAATAATCTGTAATTACGAAGACACAAATGTGATTTTTCTTTGTTAAGTTTTTACTTAAATAGTACATATATGTTTTAATTTAATTAAATATTAAATGCTGCAATAATTTAAGTAATTGTATGTAAATACATCCGGTCCAATAATTTTCCACATTTTTAAAATGTGTCCTATTACTGTCCTCGTGTCCTGCTTTATGTCATGCAGTGAAGGAGTTTCTGTGATTTAATAAATTGACTTGCAAATAACTATTTTGGAAGGAAAGACTAAGTTAAGAAGGAAACGTTTTTATAACATTATTCTTTAATTTAAATTGTGTTATCATTTGAATGTACAAAGTAAACATAGAAGTTGTCAATTTTATTAACATGTAATTATATTTTTTATTTAAAGCTTTCGTGACTGCAAGGATTCATTCTTGGTTCTTTCGGTAAAGTCACGTAGAAGGGAAACAAAATAATAAAAATATAAAACAATAAAATTCTCACGACGTTTCGACTGCAAAACAAGCAATCATCATCAGGTGTGAAAACCACAGCAAGAAATACTAAAACCAAGAATATGTAATTAAATTTTTCCGTTGATTAAATCCGCATTGTAAAAGGTGGCCAGGGCTTTGTTTTGTTGGTGATCTTTCATCAGATTCGATGGATATTCAGTCAACACTTGTAATAACCAGACGCAGGAGGCACCGTGGTGGCAGGATGTTATCTCCCTTGCCCTGTATGCAGCAGGTCCTGGGTTCGATCCTGTGCCCTGAAGATGCCTGTTGTATATTTGGAGGTCGTGTCTTCTCTCTCCCTGTGGTGGGCGCATGGGTTTCCCTCTGGTTTCCTCCAATTTTACCCTCCACATTTAGAAACATGCGTTTAGAATATTCGGCTGCTCCTATAAATTCCCGCGCATAATGATGTTAAGCCACTTCGATGTGGCCAGGTCGACTCTAAAAGTGCTCCTACCTCCGTAGGCTTTACCTGGTAATTATTCTTTTAGTGGGTAATTAAAGTTCGTATTCTTATGTACATGTCAAAGGACACTTATGGAAATGGAGCCTTACGCCTAATCACCAGAGGGACCTAATCACAACACCTTTTTGAGACGTATACTTAATAACTTCAATTTAGAAAAAAAAATCCAGTTACTCCACGTATACCTCTTCTGAATATGCTCGTCATTAGGCGCTACGTCATTATGTTCACTTGAATGTTGTCCACTAACTTCTCTAAGAAAACAAATCATCACCACAAGCATCCTTGGCCATGGTCAATCCACTGCTGGCTGAAGGCCTCCCCAAGCCAATCCTGTGGTGATGTAATCGTTCACCTAGCACCTGCACACGAGATAATTTCGTCGCTCCATCTCCCCGGCGGTACCAACCTCGGACGCGTTCCATTCCTAGGCTGCCGCTCCATTATTCTTGACCAGCAGCCATCCCTTCTGGCCCAAGCGCAGCTGCTTATCTTAACATATTCAACGAGTTTGAATGCGTTATTGTGCACGCAATAGCAACTCGCCAACACAGTTCGCAGATAAACAACTTGACAAAACGCAGAACAGCTTGGGTTGCTCCATGGAGCATCGCTGCGTTGGGTGACGAAGCTGAGGCCCAATATGAAATATAAATGATCTCTCCAAGACAAAGCCTAGTTGAGTCTCTTGACATTCCATTGAATCTGCTTAGGCTGTCACTGCGGTCCCTTATCATGGGTCGGAGTGTGGGTCGAGGACCAACATCTTACCTAGCGAACGCTTTGACGTGTCGCATTTGCCAAAGATGCAGTGGGCCCTTGGCTTGAGCAGGGCTCGGGTTACCTACGGCTCTTGAAATATTGAGGGATTTTTTTTCGTTTACCGAATTCGAAAAAAATGTCTCTTGTTACATTGGTTGCCGACCCCTGGGCTGAAAGGAGCTCGAGAGAGACCTTCTTGAGTAAAATGTGGCCTACGCTTCCACACTTGGCCAGGCGTCTTGGAAAACGTGGGAGTTACCCACACTTGGCTGCACCACACCCAACCTGCCAGTCGACTACATGTCACTGTGGTGTGCCTATTCATACTGCTGGGTAAACAGTGTTGCGTTTAGCAGTGTTGCTGGCAAAAATTCACGCTTACACTGGGTAGATCTAAGAATGTGTGTATGCAATTCTCATAACAGCGCTCCGTTTGTAAATTTACTCCAGTCCTCAATGTGGCTTCATTGATTCAGAATCACCGTTTGTCAAAATCAACAACTGCTGACCGAATTGAGAAACTGCACAATATGTTTGAAGTGGGGGGTGCAGTGGCGATTTCACGAGATGGTGGATAATCTTTGACACCCCCCCCCCCCATCATCATCGTAGGACAATCGGATCAACCCAGTTTTACTTGCAGTGCGTTCATCCTGAACACGGCATTTGTGTACCTGTACGTATCGGTGCACAGTAACACTTTTACGCTTCGCTTCTCTGAATGTTACCTACAGACCAAGTACTTGAAAACCGGTCCCGGTCCACCTGCACATATGCCCATGTGCATCCGCATGCATGGCTGCTCATGTGCATACGTAAACGCGTACACTTATGTGCATCGACACTCATGCGCCTGCAAATCCGTTCACTGTCACAGCTGTGTACCTACATTCAAATGTACCGATACACGCTGCACCTGTACACATGCATACGCGTGCACACGGCTGGGGATGCGTTTATAAAGTGTCGGATTAATATGAAAGATCTGGAAGATCTGGCCGAGACATAAAATATCGGAGAGATATAAATAGCCCCCCCCCCCAAAAAAAAAAATCGGATTAATCCGAAAATATGACGTCGCAGAAAGGAACGTGACAATTCATGCGTTCCGTATGTTCCTGCCACGTAACGGCACGTTTGTTCGAGCAATAAGAGACGTTAAGTTATCGCGTCATGTAAACGATATGAAAAGTCCAACAACAGCACAAAAAATATCAAAAAATTGTTGTTAAAAAATTATCTGACAATTGAGAGTTGTTTTTGTTTTGTATTATTCGCGACTCATCCCTAGTACTGGAAATACACATTAGCCATCACGTTTGGCGGTAGCCACCGCACGCACTGCATTTAAATTGGTTCAGCCCCAAATGACAGAATTACGAAGATGATGATGACATCGATGATGAGAACGCAACCATCCAACCAATGTCGCCACTTGCACGTAGTACGCATACGTTAACGCTCGTTTATTTTGATGAAAAATGCGTATTTGTTGTCTTTCAGAAGGTCCATCACAGATGTGCATTTTTGTATATTTTAATATGTGAATTGTACATATGTTGTCTATTTTGTCATATGAAGGTGGATTATGATTATGCCATGGCAAGGCGGTTGTGTATAAGTCATGAATGCTTTGTATAGTTAAGTAAAACAATTTTAAATAAAGTATGAGCTGAAACAAGATACAGCAGACCTGTGCATTTTTGATTATTGCTATTTCCTGTTTATGTACAAACACTGGCCTTTCCGCGATTTAAGTAGGAGAAATAGCACGTATCGAATTGAAATTTCCCAAATTTTCAGAAATCAGGAGAACACAACAATAAAATGGTTCTAATGTGTCACGGCAATCAATGGGAGCATTATGGTAGCAAAAAAGGAAGTTGATGATTGGTAATTCACCAGTGGAATCACACCCTAGATTATAAGGCTCACGTTTTCCCCATACACATTCAAGCAAACCTTGGGGGGGTGGATCTTACAATCTGGAGTGTGTGTGTTTGTGACGGAATCTTTACGAACACCAGAAACAATGTTTAAAGGTGCGTCTTACTCTCAGGAGGATCTATTGATTGGAGAAAATGCATACGAGAGGGATTACGAAGACGGAACGAGAACTCGTGATCGAGATACAATCTTAACACCCGTGCAAGAACGTTATGGCGGTCTATAGCAAAACAAACTGTATTTCCCATGGCATTACCTGTCAACCCTTTATCAGTACCCTACCTTATCACAGACCAATTCAGACCTTATTGGTCACCCCGTGCCCTTATAAATCTCAACGTTCATCCTACAAAGTCCCCTCACAATGGAGAAACGTAAATATACAAAAAATATTTTTGCCCGTATTGAAATGGCTGTACGCCGTATGGACTTGAAAACTCAATTTCCATATACTGTACAGGAATACGGGTAAACCGGATGGCTTGACAAGTATACATGAGTCGAGGAATTTCTCAGATGAAGAGGAGGTGGTGTCTGGAGAAGTAAAACCTTCACTTCACGTTATTGCAAAGGCAAAGCTCCTGGGTCAGACGATGTAACTGTGGACATGCGACACCTTTAAAATGTCACCCATCTATGTCATAGACGCTCTCCCCAACAACATGCCGAGACAGGTCCGGGTTACAGTCCGTTTATTCCACCACCTCCGTCACACACACAGCTCCCTCCTTCATACACAGCTCTCTCCTTCATACACAGCTCCCTCCTTCATACACAGCTCCCTCCTTCATACACAGCTCCCTCCTTCATACACAGCTCCCTCCTTCATACACAGCTCCCTCCTTCATACACAGCTCCCTCCTTCAGACACAGCTCTCTCCTTCATACACAGCTTTCTCCTTCATACACAGCTCTCTCCTTCACACACAGCTCCCTCCTTCATACACAGCTCTCTCCTTCATACACAGCTCTCTCCTTCATACACAGCTCCCTCCTTCATACACAGCTCTTCCCTTCATACACAGCTCTCTCCTTCATACACAGCTCTCTCCTTCATACACAGCTCTCTCCTTCATACACAGCTCTCTCCTTCATACACAGCTCTCTCCTTCATACATAGCTCCCTCCTTCATACACAGCTCTCTCTGCACGTCCCTCCTCCGACATGCCCTCTTATCCCCACAGTCCCTTCTCCAATTAACCCCCCCCCCCTTCCCTCGTTCCCAGCCGCCAATCACACGTCGTCACATCTCAGGACCATGTCTCCTCATCTCCCGTCAAACAATCACATATCGATCGTCAAACTGCGAGGGGGGGGGGGGGGGTTACTTTCGGTTAGGTAGATGCAGGGATTGGCGTCAGCATGTGGGGGGTAGGGAATGGTGATGTTGTGGGGACCATTGACATACGTGAAAGATGCGTTCCCGGAAAAGCGCGCACATCTCCAAATCACGGATGTCAAAAGCAATTTTCCCATAAGAAATAACGGTAAAGGAGGGGGCTAGGGGATTTGGGGCCGTCCATAAATGACGTCACGCGATTTTGTGCGATTTTTGACCCCCCCCCCCTCGTCACACGGCGTCACAAAAAGTCAGACCCCCCCCCCCTCAAATATGACGTCACAAAGCTCTGCCCCCCCCCCCCCAAAAAAAAAAACATGTTTCAAATCGCTTTAAACTATTGTCATTGTAGTGCGTATTTAATGTGGCGCTGCACTCTGATGTTGTAGGAGAAAACATTTATTAAAAAGCCTATTTAATTAAGTTGTTTATATTTATTTAAAGTTGCGCATTTTGACGTCACATTTCTCAAACCCCCCCCCCCCCCCTCGTCACACATCGTCACAAATGTCTGACCTCCCCCCCCAGGTGCGTGACGTCATTTATGGACGGCCCCTTTGACTTTCACTCGCAGACATAATCGCCTGTATTATCCAACTCCATTTACGTCAATACATGTGTAGTGACGTAAATGGAGTCCCTGTGGCGTTTAGCGCCAGCTACTGTCCCAAGTTCATAGTTCATAGTTTCATTTATTTTGGTATAGCCCTGTGAGCCATTCGGCTCTTGAATCGGGTGCAACCGCAACAAACAAAAAAAAAGAGTGGAACTGTGCGTCTCGAGCCTCTCTCTGGCACCAGAGTAGGTGTGGCATGGAAGCGGGCCCTAGGGGGCATGGTTCTGGTGAGGGTCAGAGAGAGGGCAAGTGAGGACGTGTAAGTCTGGGTGAACCCGAGAGGGCACGTGACCGGGACAGGGTAGCGAGGGGGGCCAAAAGGGGGCTTGAGGGGCACGTGATGCTCGGTCGAGAACCTTCTGGTGAGATCCAGAAGGGGGCGTGGCCGAAGGCGGAGCGAGGCCACGCTCCTCGGTCTTTACGCTCGGCATCGTGGGTCAGGCAGTGTGTTAGGGGCCGTCCATAAATGACGTCACGCGCCTAGGGGTGGGGGGGGGGGGGTCAGACATTTGTGACAATGTGTGACGACGGGGGGGGGGGGGGGGTGAGAAATGTGACGTCACATCAAAATGCGCAACTTTAAATCAATATAGACAACACGTTCTACTTAATTAAAGACTTTTTTAATAAATGTTTTCTCCTACAACATCAGAGTGCAGCGCTACATTACATACGCACTACAATGACAATAGTTTTTTTTGGGGGGGGGGGGCGAGCTTTGTGACGTCATATTTGTGGGGGGGTCTGACTTTTTGTGACGCCGTGTGACTAGGGGAAGGGGGGGGGGTCAAAAATCGTCCAAAATCGCGTGACGTCATTTATGGACGGCCCCTTAGTGACTGACCTGGTTATGTAGTTACCCCGTTGTGGTCGAGTTCACCTGTTGTACGTTTATGTTGGGGTGTGAGAATAAACGTGTTGCCTCCCAAGCTCAAGTGTGCGCTTCCGTGGAACCCACTACACATGTACACACAATACACTTTAAATGAAAAAAAAATCATGACAACTCCAATATACTTCCTACAAAATGAAAATAAATACAGTATTACATATTCTTAGTTTTTTCGTGAGAATTTTTTATTGTTTTATATATATTTTATTATTTTGTTGTTTCCCTTCAACGTGACTTTACCGAAAAAACTAAGAATATGAATTACTGCAGTCACGAAAGCTTTAAATCAAAATACAGTATTACTTGCTCGTAACTACACCGGAGTTGCGTTGTGGAGAGGATGGATGGAGACGAAGAGAGGAGATGGACCTGGATTTGTTGAACGCTGTACAGTATAGCACACGAGTTATCGTACCGGGGTCACGGTGCTAGCTCGGGTAGCGTATGTCGCGTTGCGGATGACATTATTCCGAAAAATTGCCTCGCGTAAGTTAACAAAAGGTCTAAATACAAAGCGCGTTATTCCAAAATGGCGCACCACAAGCGCGTAAAGCGAGGGTTGCCTGTATACTGTAAATCAGCTCAAGCCTTCTGTAAATCACGTGACCTTCACGTGGCCAACCCCACTCAAGTCCTCCACCTCTCCGTCCGCCCACTGTGAAAACGGACGCCGCTCCTCCGTGCAGGTCACTTCTGCTTGCTCCTTCCTTCTCTGTCCCTTTCTTCCCTCCCCACTCATCATCATCATCATCAGCGTCTCTTCTCCCCGACATCATTTCATTGACTGTGCTCCCGTGGTCTGCCATGGGGGAAGGTTCTTTTGCATTATAATCAAGAAAAGTTGGCACTATTATGGCTACAATTGAGAGAGAAATGACAACAAATGAGACGAAAAATAAAACACGAGTTCATCAAGAAAAGGCAGTACATATACATACTTTAAGATATACTTTATTAAAATAAACTACATGTACATTCAATTAGTTACTCTGATCACATGCATTGTGTAACACTTCACATTTGAAATGTGTATTAATAGCAAGTCATGTTTTACAGATCTGCGCACAAACATCTTACAAGAGATGTTTGACATGCCGACGAATATTACACCGATCAGTGGGTTTTGCAGACAGTGCCGTGATTTCGTATACTGTTTTGATTAAACAGAAATGTACATAGACTTTACATTTGTAAGCTTGACATGATGTACTAAATATAGAATAAGAGACGTTGAGTAATTTTAGCGATGAACACAAACACGGCGGTTCATTCTAAATTAAGGTGTTATTTCCATACATGGAGCACGCGGGTTTAGTAGATTTGACGACAGGCGTAAGGATGATGACCACGGTTATGATCGTGACATTAGAATAAATGATTAAGAGAACACTGATAAAAGCTACATAATTAAATCAATTACGGTCGCTACCAATATTATGATTTGCAATTGAATTGTGGCTTAGATTGCGAGAGTATAATGTGTGTTGTACACCCCACTCCACCCGACATGACCACTTAATAAAGTTAGTTTAACACGTAGGCTTTCGCGACCAATATTATCCAAAATGGAGGTTTTTTTTGGGTTAGATCGCGTAAAAATATAAATGTGTCGTTAAACCCGCCACCACTCGACACAGCCAATTAGTAAGATTTGTCATGTAAACAAAGCATAATAATTAATGATTAATTACTAATTAGTTACTAGTTAAGCAAACCGGTTTGTTGGAGAGTAAACCCACAACATTTACAATTCGACGCATTTATATTTGCTCGATCCAACCCAAAAAACCTCCATTATCAATTAATAAAGTTTTCACGTGGGACAAACGTGCCAGCAAACGGGTAAGTCGTGTCAGAGAGCAATCACGTGTGTTCACGTGACACCGTTATTACATTGGCGTGTGTCGGGTGGAGAGGGGTGTACGACACGCGTTCTACTCACGCGAATAGACCCAGAAATCAATTACGGTACGAATCAATGACGAGGGTCACTGCAGCGACAGCGATTGACATGACGACAATAACCCGGTGGTGATCAGTGAAGTTGTGTGCCAGCCTGTTAGAGCCCCAGTCAGTCAAATGTCAATCGCAGGAAAGGCCCGAAGGACTATTATGAGCAGGAAATTCCTGCGTTGGGTGGTTTGCACAATCCCTTTAGCTTGTTAATGTGTGTGAGCAGTGGGCGCACTAAAGCCCCCACTACGCTTCGTAATCGCCTCCTATAGAGACTCCACTGACCTCTAGTCTCTCACACGCGCACGCACGGCAGCTTCATCCCCGCATTAGCCACTAACGCCCACCTTCAATAAGAACGCTTTAAGGCGGCAGATGGTTCCCAGACATAAACCATGGATGATCTCGTGCTGGCGATGATGACAGTGATGGTAACTGTGATGCTAATAATGATGATCGCCATGACGATGATGATGATGTTGTATTGAAAGTATCTCTCCGGTGTGTTTTCGGGTTGTTACCGCGTGTTGTTCGGCACGATGCCCGACGTTTCGCTCCGAGTGCTGGGCGCTTCTTCAGGAACGGTTCTCGAAAACACATCCGAGAGCGATTATTGCAGCTCAACCACGCAGGGCTACGTGGGGGGGGGGGGGGGGGGGGGGGGGTCCTGTCGTGTCGAGAACGCTTTGTGGGTGAGCTGCAAGTGTCCATGCCATCCGTCTCACGCTTTCACGTTCTGGTACATGCTGCTGATGACGCTGCGGAAGTGCGTCCTCAGCTCCGTCCGTTTGGCCTTGAACGTGGGCGTGAGCAGCCCGTTCTCGATGCTGAACATCTCGTTGTGCAGGTGAACGTCCTTCACCTGCGGCAGGTGGCACCGTGGAGTCAGTGCAGCCTCGTCCTATTGCTGCCCTCTTCAGCGCAGAGCCAAAGTCAAGATAAAGTTATTTGTTTGTTTTTTTTAAACTCATCATGTGCACTGAAGCCGTTGCCTCATCTTCTCATTGGAAATTTCACATTACTATTGTGGGGGCAAGCATATCCAAAGGACAATTACTGTTGAATTTCCTGCAAAGTGAAACTTATTTTTATTGATCTCGGAGAGATGATGGGCTGAGTCAATCTCCAACTAGGATTTGAACTCGTAACCTTGTGACTGCCGTTGAGGCACCAGGCCACCCTGATGATATAGGCCATGTTGACGGTATAGAACCAGTCACAAAATTCTCCCTTTATATGAGTACACATTTCTTACCCAGCCAAATGCCCCCTGACCCTGTTAATTTAAAACAAAATCCACAACACTTGTACGGGAGACCATGCTTTCAGTTTCCATTCAAAGAATGCCAGCAGTGGATATGGACAAATTACTGATTTATACTGTGTATCTGTTAATTGACATATTGTCAGTACACCGGTGCAGCATAACAGTTTAAAATCTAAATTTGAATCAGCAACATGATACTGTTTATCAGTCTTTACTTGACCCTGTTACCAAATTTGATGCAATTCGAAGGTTTATTCAGTCTACTAAATAAACCTCAATCGAGGAACCGTCCGACCAAGTCTAGGGCACGAGGAGTCAAGTCTGCCTTTGCAACACGGAGCAGCCAATCGGCATCCGGCTGTGTGCTGCTGTACGGCAACAGACTGTGAGGCCTTCGTGTTCAGCAGCTCATAACGTTCGTCTTCTGACTGCTTCGACATCACGATAACTGATTGTGATGCACGCCCCGCATGATTTTCTGACCGGGGTTGTGAAGATAATTCATGATTGCAAACACCGCCAATACGTTCGAGTGCTGGGACGGTGATACAGTGATTAGCGCACTGTAGTATGAACTGTTACACCTGAGGTAGGGTTCTCAGCCACGGCTGACATCAGCGGTGAGCAAAATCTGAACTGGTCCTGGGCCACCCCCTTCACCAACCCACCCAGACCAATGCGGCGAAGTATGGTCAACAACCACAACAACAACCGCTGTTCGCCACGAAGTGTCGGTGGCGTCACCACGGCGCTTGTGCCAGGCTATGTGCGCTTTAAGTAAGGTCAACTAACCCCCATGACCAGCAGCGTATCGAGAAAGGGCTGTGAATGTGTTTGTCATAGCAAGCTTACCTGCTCAAAAGGCTGCAAGTCAGATTCCTTGCCGAGGCGTTGCATGTCTTCCAGAATTGCTTGTCTTACTTCCTGAAAATTATAATCATAACAAAAGCAACGATAATTATTGTGATTTTGAAACTAAAATCAACAAGCAAATAACAACTACAACCGAATGTCAACAAAAGCTCATCACATTCGTCAATAACACTACCCTAAAAGGAAAAAAAAAACACGTGTATTTCAAAGTTAACATTTCAGCAAACGGCTAATCTTAATATCTCTTTCATATCTCTCTGCTATGAAGAAGTGCCATTGCCCAAATTGTAACCTATTATTTAGAAAATGTTTGATCCCTTTAGGACAGTGCTATCTCTGTGGTGCACTGGTTAGCACACCTCACTATGAACCCGGCGACCTGAGTTTGATCCTGGCTCACGGTCAACACCAGTGGCGTGTTGCTATCTGGACCGCCCGTGGGCCCGACCTGCACTGACCAGCATGGTCAAACAACCCCCATGCGGTGTTGAGGCCTTCAACCAGCAGTCAATAGCTCATAAGATAGCATCGTGCATTTCTGCTGTTGACACGAGTTCCCACCACCCGCTACGAGCTTTAGCAGCCTTCTCCGCTGTTGTCATTGTGAGATCCCATTGCGCCAAGTCTCTGTCTGCTAGAGATGTCTCACCATCTGGTACATAGGTCTTCCTCTTACCCTTACAAAAGGCCTGTTCTTCAGCTGCCCCCCACAACTGTGCCACTCTTATAAATCAGACTATCCTGGTCTCATACTCTTTGGTTTTTTCGGTAAAGTCACGTAGGTAAAAAATAAAATAAAAAGAATTGAAAACTTTACCGAAAAAAACAAAGAGTATGAATCCTTGCAGTCACGAAAGCTTCAAATCTAAGAATATCCTGGTCTCCTTGGGTTCTCACCCCGTAAAAAAATACAACTTTACGTGAGTTGCGGTGCCCGCTCACCTTATTTCTGCAGAGCTCCGAGTATGTTCCCACGATGCCTTTCTTCCGGATCCAGCAGCAAAGTATTTCTGGGTCAGGTACCACAACTGCAACCAAACAGGCCTGCCACCAAAATGCAACAACATGTGCCATCAACAACATCCACCTCTATGCATAGCATCTGGTGTTCAATTTGTACAACGTCTACAGGAGCAATTATAATTATGGCAATGTAACGGAAGGTGAGAGCATCTGTCACCCTTTTTCAGGGCCGGTTCTGCGTAGACCCTGTGCCGTGGAGGGACAGTTGCCACTAGAAGTCCCCTTGGCTAAACTGCCTCAGGGCATCAGCATGGTGGAGATGAGATGTAAGGAAAGGGGGCACCACGGTGGCGAGATGTTAACTACCTCGCCTGGTACACAGGAGGTCGTGGGTTGGATCCCGACTCTGAAGCCTGCTGTATATTTTGAGTTTGCGTGTCTCTCTCCCTGTGGCCACGTGGATTTTTCTCTGGGTCCTCCGGTTTTTCCCTCCACGTTCAGAAACATGCTTTTAGAGTATTTTGGCTGCTATAAATTTCGACACGGTGAGCCACTTTGTTGAGCTATCATTTGTGGCCAGGTCGCTTCTGAAAAAGAGCTACGTAGCTCATTGAGCCTTACCTGGTAAAATAAAAAATAGTAGTATAGCAAGAGTTGCTGGGGCATTCAAGCAAGTTCTCTGTACTGTACATGCAAACCCTTATCCCAATGTGAATAATTATTGTGTTATGAGATGTAGGAATGGTGGTGCAGTGGTTAGCGCACCACGCTATGAATCCGGAAAGACCCGACTCCGATTGGCACTCACGGCCAACGTCGGCAGCTGTGACTATCTGAACCGGTCCTGGGCCTCCCCTCGGTATGTGAATCAGCCTAATAGGAGTACCTGGCGCGGTGTGTAAACATCAACACTGGGGAGGAAGCCGTCCCTTCGTGCTCCGTGCTGGCCTTCACAGGTGCTTGCTTTACAGCACTTGCCCCGATAGTCTACGTAGGCTGCACTGGGGGGAGGGGGGCATCTTTGACTTTGTGTGTGTGCAAGTGCACTGTGGGTTGAGCTGGGCCACCTGGAGACTGTCCCCGTGCACGTACACCTGGGCCACGGGCTCGCAGCGAGAGTACACGTTCTCAATCTTCTCGGGAGCGATGTACTCCCCCTGAGCCAGCTTGAAGATGTGCTTCTTGCGATCGATGATCTTCAGAGTTCCGTTCTGCAGGGCAGAACAATACCCACAACGCCAGGCAGGTGTGACTAGCGTAGGAAACCAGCACACGTAAGGTCCGAAAAAAGTGCAACATACATTTTTACTAACTTTTTTTTTACCAGGTAAGGCCCACTGAGCTACATAGCTCTTTTTCAGAAGCGACCTGGCGGTCACAAATTATAGCCCAATGAAGTGGCTTACCATGTGGAAATGTATAAGCAGCCAAATATTCTGAACGCATGTTAATTTTAAATGTGGAGGGAAAAACCGGAGGACTCGGATAAAAACAGGCATCAGGGTCGGGATCGAACCCACGACCTCCTGTGTACCAGGCGAGGTAGTTAACATCTTGTCACCTCGGTGCCCACTACATACAGGATAGAGGCCTTTCATCAACCTTTGTGGCTTTGTCCCCGAGAGCTTTTCGTTTTAGAATCTCATTGACGTAAAGCACCGAGCTCTGACCATTAGCGAAAATGGGTCTGTTTACAGGCAACTAATTATTGTGCATTCCATCGGCATTACAATCGAGCAGGTTGTTGCTGTGGTTAGAGCTCTCGATTAAAGGACGATGAAGGTAAAGAGTTCAAATCCTCTTTGGGAGTCAATTCAGCCTGTCGCTCCACTGTGGTCGGTAAATCAAGTCCTGCGGAGGTCTTATCCCATAGCGAAAGGGGTCCGTGCCATGACCATGTGACATTTCCACCAATTACTTGAAGGAGCTCCACTCCATTGCTTGTTTGAGCATGGAAGACACTTTGTCAGTGACTTAGTCGAAATTTACTCATACAACATAATGTTAAGTGCTTTGTGAAAGAATGTTAAGCGCTATTATTGACATCATGGTTATAACCGATCCTGGCCACCTAACCAGATCCGATATCTATTGCCGTCCAAGTGATCTGCAAAAGAGAAGTGGATTAGTTCCTAATTTAATTCAGATGTGAAACGGCAGTGAAGCGGTGTCTCAGCGGGTAGCACACTGCTCTATGACAGCAGCAACTTGAGTTAAATTCCCAGCCATTGGTTAACATCAGCACCAAGTGATCAGAATCAAAATCTTTATTTATCCTGGAGAAATCCGATGATCTACGAGGCCTTTTTTTTTTTTACAGATGTCCAGTAGGGGCAGGTCAGAAAGTAACAACAACAAACAAAACAAAATAACGATAGGAGTGCAAAGTATATGAAAGGTAAGAAAATCACTTAAATATTAATCAGTAAATATTGGATAATTAAACTATTTTTTTTATTTTACCAGATAAAGCACACAGTGCTATTAGTTTATTTTCAGAAGTGACGTGGCCACAAACGATAGCTCAACAAAGTAGCTCATCGTGTGGAAATTTATAACAGGCAAATACCCTAAAGTGATAGCTGAACCGGTCCTCAGCTCTCCGTACCTTCATCAACCCACACTTACCAGCTTGGTGAAGTACGGTCAAACGACCCCCCAAGGACGAACACAGCCTATGTCCAACAGTGAATTAACGTTGCTGTTGTTAATATCTAAGTAATTTGTGTTATTAATTTCTCATGGAACAACTTTAATTGATTTAATTGAGTATCATTAACAAAATGCAAAACTGGTTTCATGTTAAACGACGCACGGGCATCCATTGGCCAATGTCTCCCGTGTGAAGCCACCCATCCCGATCCACCGCCTCGGCCGTCTTCTCGGCGTCCTTCAGGTACCCCTTGAAGACGTTGGGGCCCTTGACGCACACCTGAGCGAGGCACACACAGACACTAAACTAAACTATGATTATAAAACTAAACGATGCTTTCCCACCTGATGATGGACGCTTGTGTTGCGCCCGAAACGTCGCGATTATTTATTTATTTTATACCTACGTGACTTTACCGAAAGAACCAAAGAGTATGGATTCCTGCAGTCACGAAAGCTTCAAATCAAGATTAAACTATGATTGTTTTTTTTTTACCAGGTAAGGCCCACTGAGCTACGTATCTCTTTTTCAGAAGCCACCTGGCTATCACAAAAAATAGCCCAACCGAGTGACTTATCACGTGGACATTTATCACAGCAATGTTTTCCATCTTGGAGTTAAGTTGATAACCCAGTGATGTGTCACCGTGATTGTTTTTATTATAAGGCGTGGAGAAAGTAGACCAATGTGTGGAAAAGACTACACTTAGATTTTTAAATAGCCACAACCTCCCTTATGTTTTTTTTTAATTTTAAGGCCAGTGTTATTGACAAACATGTTGACTTTTTGTTTGTTAATTGTGCTTCTGCACCGCTGCCAACTCAGCAGCAGCATCACCAAATAATTTGAGATGTAATAATTGGCCTCAGTTTATAATTGCCCGCTTTGTCAAGACCTACATACCACATCTATAAACTACCGGAGTGAAATAATGGCCATAATTTTCACTTTTCTAATGCCTTGATTTTATATCTGAATCAGTCCTGGGCCCCTACCATCACCAATCCACACTGACCAGCATCGTAAGGTATGGTCAGCCAATACCCCATGACCAAAAGCCACGGGGAAAGGGCTTCATTCAGCAGTAGACAAATAGTTTGTTATTGCTCTCATGTTAAACGTACCTCTCCCTTTCCCTGTGATGTGTAATATTCCATGTCTTTCACATCATGCAGTTTTATGTAATTGCATGGCATCGGCGCTCCAACGTGACCTGAAAATTTGGAAATTAAAACAAAAACCAAGCCCATGTCATTCTACGTCTCGGGAAGGTACTTTTCATTTTTCTCTTTAAGTAAAGATACATTTATTTTAAGATATTTTCATAGCACAAGTTACGAGTATCGCCTAGCTTAAGCGCTCAACATCACCGGTATTTTGGGTTATACTTAAGAAAAACATGAACGTTTCTCACTGCTCAAAGGATCAATTGCCAGTGATATTGGCCCCGAGGCTGTTAAACTATTCGGGGGCCCTCTTTGAAAGTTAATTTCCTTCCCTTGACTGTTTTACCATCGCCATCACATATTTGTGCGTGTGTGTGTTTCGTTTGTTGTCCTTTCGTCGCACCTCCGATTAGCACGGTTGGCTACGCACTACGTACGGTGCGAAATAAGTTCTGAATGCCAAACGCCCCATTGTTATTCGCCCTGGCTACTTCAGCACTGATATTTTACATGTGATATGCGAATTGTATAGTTGAATCAAAGTAACATTTAACAAACCTTTTTTTTAATTCGGCAAATAACTGGTGGTAATGCACAGTGATGCTACGGCTTTGATAACCAAAATAACCTTTAGCATGTATCAATGTGCCACAGTACTGATTTTAACCATTATGAAGCAGTATGTATATATTTATACTTTTGGGTGGTGGGGCTCAATATCTGAGCCTCTGGGCTGCAGCCCCTGAAGCTCCTTCGTTAATCCTGCTCTGCTCATCCTGAATATAAATACATGGCTTACTGTTTAGTGGCAATATTAGCTGTGTCAGGGCTTAATATCTCACTGAATATTGTCTGGGTCCCTGGTAGACTTAAGGTAGTCGGCATGTGGTTCAGTAGTAGCCACAGCCACGGCAATAAGTATACTGGATGGGATGTGGTGTGCCAGTTCAGGCATATTGAGGGGAGCGTGGACCCAGAGCGACCTGGCTGAAATAAAACCCTGAGCTCTGCAGCATTCACTATTGAATACATCCCAAATGTGATGATGCATCCTGTAATGATTGGGACGTAAGTGGTGATACAAAATGAAACATGGCTCATAAGGAAAATAATCAATGGATCCTCACCGGCCTTCCAGTCTCCAGGCAGGGTTAGGGTACAGCCAGCTGTACATTCTGTCTGTCCGTAGCCTTCATACATCTGGAAACAAGTATGCAGCATTTAAACAAAATTTACAAGAATTGCTTAACTTTCCCATCTCTAAAATTACTTAATGAGCAATGAATGTGTGCATGTGCGTGGGTTTAGAAGTGTGGGTGCAAAGGCTCATGAAATACGCCACAAGGCAGCTGGGCAGCAGCTGCTCTGCAACACCAGCAGAAGGGCAGAGGGGTGATGCTCAAAACAACGAGCAGAGCTTTGGAAGGAAAAAACACATTGAGTTGGCACAGTGGGGAGCACAGGTGGTGCATTTGCCGCTTACCCTTTTCTGCGAACTATTAATACGTGGCTCTGTCCAGTGACCGGTTATCAAACCTTCGCCAGCCCACGTGGCCTCAAAGTGCACCTAGCCTGGCACAAGCTCCTGGTGATTCCACTGGTACTTATGAATGAACGGTGGCTGTTGCTTGATGATGTGTGCCAAGTAAACGGTGATCCATTTATCGATTTTATTTTTAAACAAAAGATTCCGTTTTTCTAACTCCCGTGATGTTAGCGCGGGGGTATCTACGACTGCATCGGCCGCAGCACCTGGCAGCCCATGACGACGCGCAGGAAGTTGAGCACTCCCGGGGAGATGGGAGCAGCTCCGGTCATGATCATGCGGACGCGTCCGCCCACGCTCAGCTTGCAGCAGCCACAACACAGCGTCCACACAAGCAACAGACAAGCCGGTCAACGCTCGCCAAGTGAGATGTGCAGACCTTGGACGTAACAACGATAAATAATTTCACACGTCTGGTATTCGCTCCGTTCTTGCGGCTGGCTATCACAAACGCGCTGCGTTTAGCAGATGGACGAAGTCTACGAGCAGCGGACGAGGTTTCCGCGCTAGAATTGTTTTTTACACAGGTCCGTAACAAACGCTTTAGGTGACAGAAAAACCAGACGGGGACAAACTCGGAGGGGGGGGGGGGCCCTCGGATCCGACGCGATACATAAGACGGGGAAATTTAACCGCGGGTGTAGGGAGGGGGCGGGTGTACATCTATCGCCTCTTTCACACAAAGGAATCGGGTAGGGGAACCAATGTGTTTTTATCTGGGGGATGGAAAGGGAAGGGATGGTAAGGGAAGAAGAAAGGTGGGTGGGGGTGTACAAGGTATTCCCAAGCCTGCATCCGTGTGGTTTTACGCAATTAAGTAATTTGCTATGGCTGTAAAATAAAAAAAGGCTAATTTGGGACGGCACGCTGGCACATATGGCCTAATCTTTTTCGAATAATATCACAGTATTATCAATAGTTGTGCGCTGGGTTCCATTGGCAGTTCTGAGCCAGTGCTTGAAATTCCACATTCCCGTGACAGGGGGTCAAGTCTACCCGTAGACAATTAATATTGAAGTAATAATGAACAAGGGAGCAGGATACTGCTGCGCAGGCGTTCGTGGTTGTGCTGCATAGCTCTCTCCGATGTGTTTAATGGTTGTGGTTGTGTGTTGTTCGGCACGGTGTCTGACGTTTCGGTCCCCCAGTACGTGGATATTCAGAGAAGTTGAACATCCCACTCACGACTGAATGTTCGCTTCCTGAAGAAGCCCACCGTGCCATGCGGAGCGAAACGTTGTATGTATCGCGCCGTGCATCACGTGGCACAATCGGAAAGCACACCGGTCGGAGAGCGAAAGGGGTAGGATGTTAATTTGTTTTGTTTTCATCTGCAGGTGGAGCCCTGCAAGAGGAGTCACCTGCATGGGGCGGAAGACGAGCCAGTCCCACAGGGAGTTCCTGCGAACCACTCCTCGCTGCAGCTCCGCCATCTTCCGCCGCGCCCCGAACTCCAGAAGCTTCCTCCGGAAGGGCGTTCGGGTGCTCCCAAGCACCTGGGCAGCCGCGGTCAACCCAGCAGCAGCAGCAGCAACGTCATGTCATTCGCACACTTCATTATCATCGTCGTCACAGTCATCGTTATTACGGGTGGCAGCAGTCTCATCAAATCCATTATCTGTAAGAGTATGACAAGCAGCAAGTCACCATCATCATGAGCAGTAGAAGATTCAACATCATAATCAGCAGAGTAGATTCATCATCATCTGCAACAGCAGCAACAGCATCAGTAGCAGCGGCAACCTTATCGTCATCGTTGTCACCAAATAGCAACAGCAGCAGCAGAGTTCTTATCATCATTAGCATCAGAACGGGAGTGGTCGTGGCAGTAGCAGTGGCAGCAGGTGCATCATCACCATGATTCATCTGGGACCTCCACCGCGTTATGCTGCACCAATTGGGTGGAAGTCAACAATGGCTCTCTTGTTTTATATTTTTATTATTTTATTTTGTTTCCCTTCTACGTGACTTTACCGAAAGAACCAATAATATAATGGCTGTCTTACAGATAAACTCTGCTCTGGCCGCATGAATGTGGAATTTCCGACAACAAGCAATAAGCTACGTCCGAGGCTCGTTTTATACTAGTTGCCATTTGCGTTTGCCAAACTGGTGATTCTGCGAAGGTTTAGACTCTGATAGTTACGTGGCACTGAGGGGCCAAGCACACAAAAAGACAAAGATCCCCCTTAGAGCATTAACAGACTGCTAGGGCAAGTGCTATTCATGAGTAGCACCTATGGAAGCCGGCATGGCACACAAGAGGGTGGGTGACCAGCACCAGGTCTGGCCACCTTTGCCTCTCAAGTGGCGATGTTAGCACACCGCACCGGGTACTGATTTGAGGCTAAATCGACCTAAGGGAGGCCCAGAACCGGTTCAGATAATCATCACCGGTGTTGGCCCGTGAGCGGGAATCAAACTGTGGCCCGCCGGGTGGCTTAACCGCTGCGCCACTGCTCTCCACCAAGCACACCCACCGTTTGCCGAGCGCACCCACCTTGTCGTACATGCGGTTGAGAATGCGAGGGACCACGGGAAACACGGTCGGCCTGAGGGCCTGCATGTCGTCCAAGAGCAGCCGCACATCGCCCTGGAAGAAGCCAATGCTGGCCCCGTGGCAGAACAAAGTGGCCTGGGAACGAACACGCCGTGAGAAATTCAACTGACGTGGCAATTGGCAGTGCAGCAGGGTGGCGACATGGCCCAGCGGTAGCGCATTCGCACCTCCGATTAGCACGGTTGGCTACGTACAGCGCAAAATAAATTTAGAGAGCTTGTTGCACAAGTTCATGGTTCAAAATCAGCAGCCGCCTGAAGTAATACCGTGCGGTCCGAGACATGTCGTTTGGTTTCTCCAATGTAACTACTACCACTGAGGCAACTTAGTTTGTAGACACCAGGGTACTGTGTCCGGAATCACATCTTTTACAGACGGAACCAGATCACGGATTTTATGTAATGTGTTGAAACGGACCTGGATCTTGTGTTTATTCAAGATTTTGGAGATTTTTTTGTGATCCCCGCAAAGTAGGGTAAAGTAATGGTTTTGAAAGGCTCCTCAAGAGGGTCCTTCTTTATGGTTTGAGTGATAGCTTTGTGGATTGTATAGTCGGAGTAACCATTAGCCTTAAGAGCTTGGTGTACGTGCTTGAGTTCACTGCCTATGTGTTCCTGTTCGGCTATGCATTGGGCTCTATGGTACAGAGTCTTGATGTCTCGGACCGCATTCGTGAACACAAAGCAGACCTTAAACACGTTAGGACCAACACCTCGGCCGTGGCAGATCATTGTTATAATTTAGTAGGCTCACATGACATTGACTTCTCCAAGACAGAGGTTCTTTGTAAGCCATCTGGCTACCATGAGAGATTCGTTCATGAGGCTATCCACATATACAAGCACAGAGACAATTTCAACCGAGAAGATGGATTCTGGCTTAGCAATCATTGGAAGGATTTGATAAACCATTTCAGGTCTTAATTGATTGTTCACGCTTACGGTGGCTTTCAGACAGCATACATTAATTTTTCGTCCACCCCCTCCTTTTTTCAGAACATAGATGGACTCGTCCTTCTAAACAAATTGCCAAATCGCTGCCCGTGGTGCTAACGTTTTTAAAAAATAAATAAATACAAACACCGTTTGAAAATAAATAAATGCAGACCGCCACTTCTTTCAAATGTTTCTTGCCGTTGGCTTTCACACCTGATGATGACCGTTTGTGTTATGGTCGAAACGTCGTGAGAATTTTTTTTGTTTTATATATATTTTATGATTTTATTGTTTCCCTTCAACGTGACTTTACCGAAAGAGCTAAGAATATGAATTACTGCAGTCACGAAAGCTTTAAATCAAAATTTAAGAGTTAGGCCATCGCGTGCCGGCATCATGGTCCAGGCTTGACAAAAAAATATATATTGACACCCGCAACTTACTCAATTGGGATTACACGGAGCCATGATCGGCCCACCACTGAGAAAACTTAGCAAGACCCTCCTGAAAAAGAATCATGAGACTCAGTCGAGGCCTTCCTGAATAAACGAGCAGAATAACAATAAAATGTATCGCAGAGGTATAGAGAGGGAAGCGTGAATCATAACACTTACCACCGTCACCTTCAACACCATCTTACAACAGAAATACAGTACGTACACTGTAATAGGCCAAATGTTGTTGGTAGTTTATGGTAATCCAACGATCGGGTTGCCACCTGACCTGGTTTTCCTAGGATTGGCGTCTCCTTGAGGAAACTGCCCGAGGAAATCTACAAGTCATCCCAGGACATTCATGGCCCCAGTTATCATCAGCTGCGTAATAATTCACCATTCAAGACGACGCATTTCCATGAATTCCTCCCCTCTTCTGGTATTGAAAGATATTTTCCTTTCCGCGATGTGTCCCTGTTTTTTTGTACCTTGGAGGTGGCAACCCTCAATCCAACACCAAATACAATTTATTCTGACATGAAGGGCTGCAATGTGGCCACAATGGATTGCTGAAACTATCTGCGTGTAATTTTGAGTGTTACCCCCACGTATGCCTGGGTTTTCTCAGACTAATCCCATTTCCTCCCACATATCACTGCCAATTGATTGAATTGGTCAAACAACACGATGCAAGACCCTCCTCAAAAAACAGTCTTTAAGACTTAGACGTTTGTGGGTAAACATTTGACTGATTTCGTATAAATTAGTGGTTACTTTTTGCCACTCTACCACCGCCCCTGCTGTGAAGGTTTCCTGGCTTGAGCTAGAATTTGAGACTGTGGTCTGGAATGTGACTTCATAAACTAATTTCTCTGTTGTGGTAACTGTTGTTGTTGTTTGTGCCTTTTTGTTTTGGTGCCATTTCTTCATTTGTTTATTGTGCTTGTTTGTTGCTGTGAATAGGATTCGGCCCTAATATATAATGAATGTATAGCATTGTGGGATGTAATTCGCATGAAATATGCTACTGTATGTAAATTCAATTCTTATACTATAAAATAAAATTATTATTGTCATCAATGCCTAGATATCTCAACATGTTATAAATGTTTCAGTTTAAAATCATTGTTAACAATTATTACCGAAAGAACCAGAATAAGTCTACATTATAGACTGCCAGTACGCTCACCGAGGTTAAGAACCAGGCTACAGTCTACATTACAGACTGCCAGTCCACTCACAAAACCTAATAACCAGGCTACAGGCTGCATTATAGACTGCCAGTACACTCACTCCGATTAAGAACCAGGCTACAGTCTACATAAGTGTTTTTGTTTTGATAATTTTATTATTTTTATTCACTTAATTTTTAAATATAATTTTTCTATCTACGTGACTTTACTGAAAGAACCAAAGAATATGAACACCGCATAAATGTTTTTTTTTTTTTAATAAAAAATAATGAAGTATTTATCACATGGATATAATTTTAATAACCGGTCCATGTCTTGCCCAGCAGTGGTCTTACCACCACACTGCCTCCACTGTTTTCCCATTCCTCCTGCACGATGACAAGATTGTCGGAGATTAGGCTTTGTTTAGAAAACAATATCTAAGCAAATCAAGAAATAAATAGCCAAACCACCCACGGAGTTTGCAAATTGAGTTTCTGTAAAACGAGGTGGTTTATTTGACGGTGTGGAAAAAAATCTCTTTCCAACTTGAGGCCCAGGATATTCCTCGGCATCCATTTAGTTGCGACCCAGCAAGCGGTGGAACTTGATTTAAAATCGTCACCTGCCCCACAATGTTTATCCTCACACCTATTCCAAAGCATTATTCGGTGACAAATGTCCACTGTGCTTTGCTCAACGCGGAGGAAAAGAGGCTACTTCTTATTCAACCGCTGTGTGGAAATTACAAGCGACGTGCACACAGATGAAACTATTTCATCCACAATGTAAAGCCAAACTGAGCTATTAATTTGTCAGAGGTTGACCTGGCCACACGTGATAGCTCATCTAAGTGGCCCGATCATCGTATGTGGGAAATTATAGTCGCGGCCAAATAATAATAATAATCTAAAGGTGTGTTTTCTAAATGTGGATGGAGTGCAATATTGGAGGACCTGCATAAAAATACACATGACAGCCACGGGAAGAGAGAGAACACGCAAACTCCAAATATACAACAGGCATCAGCGTCAGGGTCTGGAATGGAACCCAAGGTCACCTCCAGCGAACCAGGAGGTGAAGATAACACCTCACCCATGAAGCCTGCATTGAATTGAAAAGATGAGAGTTCTGTTTACCTGGACCAGCCTCTCAAACATGTGAGCGAGCGGGAGGTACGAGATGGCGATGTCGCTCGTCTCTGGCAAGAACAAGCTCTGAAACCAACACAGAGAGGGGCCACACATTACTCAAGTGTAAATTATCGCATGCATACGAGTACAATTACACAGCAGACGCCATTCCCCTTACCTCTCATAGCCATCTTTCCATCTTTACCAATAAACCTATCCGAGCGGTCCTTACCTATTACATCTTGGGTAATAGGCATAGTCTAATTTACACGTGATTTGCATCATCGTTGTTTTTGTTCCAGCTGCACCGCCCCTCCGTCCAATTACATCCCCGATGCTCACTTTGCATTGTGCAAATCGTCTATCTTGCTCATGCGCAACCACACACTTGCGGTTCTATACGTCGAGCGCTACTCACTATGGTACTTTCCATTCTTCCTGTGCTTCTGTTGGTGCTAATTAGAGGCTTAATTCGTATTCCACTCATCCTGGAACGGGCACAACTGCCCTCGTGGCTCCTATCCAGTCCGGCAGGCGCACCAAAGTCGAAGCATTGCGTACACGCTGGCATCTGCCGATGCGCCCAAACATTTCCCTCTCATTATTAACATTTTAACCCTGCATTGTTGAGCGCTTGATTTTACTTCATCTGCAGGTTGGCGGAGGTGGTGACTGTTGACGTGGGAGCGTAAGAGTATAGTACAACAATTGATTGACGCTGCGCTGCCCTCTCCTACTGCCAACCACGCATCCCCCACAGCCTTCAACACCTCTCATGCATGCCGGTTCGGTTGCTCATCGAAGTGCTCTTTCATCCAAGATTGCCCCTTGCTTAGCTTCCAAAAGGAGATGAGATTGTGCGCGTCCTTGGTGGCTGTTGGTTCACCACGCTTGACCGTACTGGTCAGTGCGGATTGGTGAATCCGGGTAAAGAAGGGGAGCATAGATGTGGGGGACATAGTACAGTACAATAATGTACTGTACTAGACTGCCCTATGCTGCCCGCCATATAACCCCGCAGCTCATCACACCCTCATTATGTACATGATGGTCGCCCATCGAAGAACTATCCAGGCTCAAACCCGGCTTAGCTTCCGATATTGGTCGCATTCCAGGTGACATTCTAAGTGGCCACTTTGCCCACACATTACTGAGCCAGCTGGCCAGGATTGGACAAAACCTAGCCCAATTTTCACCCGGGCAACCGGAGAGCACAGACGAAGTGTTACTAACCTAACTTTGAAACTAACAACATATTTGAGAATCACAATTAAAAGACGAATAACATAAACACGATTAAGCAGAAGAATACAAATTTTAAAAAGCTCAACAATGGTCCTAAAACTATCCGGGACACTGTTCCAGTGCCCGACCAGGTTATGGAAGTGTTGGCAAGGTATTGTGGGCTGTTTTCATCATAGCGACATGCAGCCTATGCGTATGGGATGTTCGCGTGCATTATTTGTGTATTATTTGCGTCCAGCAAAACCCTTCTTAACGATGGTAGTTGGTTCCAGGAAACCGGTCGTTAAGTGATTTGCTCGTTAAGCGAGTATAGGAAATACAAGTTAGAGGCTTAATTCGTTCCGATAGCATCGAAAGCCACCCTTTTTCACCCCAAAAACATACTTATTAGTTAGACAATCGATATGAATACATAAAGATACTAACAACATCATAAAGCACATAATATTAAAAGAAACATGGTTCATCAATGCATGAATTCGTATTCACATCGTTAACAGGGGAATGGTCGGTAAGTGAACACATTGGGCTCTATGGAGTCCCGTCATTAAGAAGGGTTCTGCCGTATTATTTGGCAAGGGGGAGGGATGTGTGGTCAAAGGGTTGGGTACCTCGGTCACTTTCAGAAAGCCGGACATGTCGGAGACGATGTTGCGATGGGTGAGCATGGCTCCCTTCGGGTTACCTGGGAGAGAAAAACGCCAACCCGTGAGCGCCCGTCAACAAAACTTCACAATTATATTCTTAGTTCTTTCGGTAAAGTCACGTTGAAGGGAAACAATAAAATAATAAAATATATATAAAACAATAAAAAAAATTCTCACGACGTTTCGACCATAACACAAACGGTCGTCATCAGGTGTGTCACAAAACAACGGCACCGCAGCAGCGTTCAACAACATCGTCGGTGCCATTCGCATTCAAGCGCACGGAGGCAGCATTTTCTAGAGCAGCGGCCGGCCTACAAAACAGCATATACGACAATAAAAATGAGCTTTGGTTCCTTGTTAATCACTGTTGGATTGTGAAAGTCTCCACATTCCACGTTGACTGTTGGCGGGGGGGGGGGGGCGTCGTTTGGCCATACTTCACCACGCTGATCAGTGTGGGTTGGAGAAGGGGATGGGGAGGGGCGGTACTTCTGGGATCTGTTCAGATAACACCACTGATGTTAGCCGTGGCCAGGAATAAACCTCAGGTCGTTGAGTACTCCCTCCACCCGACAGAGCCGGACGGAACAAGTTGGGCAAATAATAACAATTGATTTGTTTTTTCAACATTTATTGAAAAGTGCTCGCTTTTCAATGCTCCACCAGCTTTTGTTGAAAAGCCAAAGCAACTGACATATTTGCCCACGTGACAACCTGATTTGTTTGACTTTCGTTTGGTGGCTGTTTGAAGGATATAGGTAATCATTGACACTATACCTATGGGATCTAACCATGAAACGGGTCCATGCAACAGATATCCTAAATATATTTGAATCCCCATTTGTTCATAGATATATTACAACTGTTAACGTTCTGGCATAAGATGGGCTGCAGATCGCTGAAAGAAGCAGATCCATGTTCCAATACGGATTACGCGTCATCCATATTACGCGCGTAGTGCCCCATTGGAAAGACGGGACGAAATGTGCACAGTCACACAGGCACACAATGGCACGTTGTAGTGAGCAGCATAATTGATCTTTAATGCCTGCTATCTGATGCATGCCATTTTGATAATTTGCCAGAAGCACATTAAAAGCCACGGGGTGGGAGCCAGCCCAGCGAACTGTGATCTCCATCTGTGCACCAGTCCAGCGAGGAATGTTCTAGTGCTGCTGTCAAGTTAGGTCCATGTGCAGTAACTCATGGTATTGCGAAATAATCACCGAGTGAACGCGTTCACCAATTCTGGTTACGCTGCTGCTCGAGGGCGTATTTACTTTAATAATAATGATGGCAATGAAGCGATATGTAACGCTCACAAAATTAGCGAAAAACGCGAATCGTTCTTTGATCGCGAACTCTTCCTTTGCAGATTAGTTTCCATTTTTTCAAGAGGCATCTCTCGGCCTATTCTACTTCATTAAGTGATGATAATTTATGCACATATTCGGTGGAAACGTCACGCAAAGTTTGAGCGACTTGACCAATTCCCGTAAAAAAATTACAATAGCAGCAGGAAAATAGTATGAAGTTTAACCTGTTGTTCCACTTGTAAAACAAACAATCGCCAAATCTTCAGGCTTGGGTGGCTGAAATAAAACAAACATTCATGTTCATTAGACCACGGAAATGGTTTATAATCTATATCAACCAACCGTTACATTGGTTTGCTTCATTAACATTTGGGTAAGATCCCATAGAGATTCGGCATATTTTAAAATAATTAAGGGGCACGCATGCACGTTAAAAGCCTGGGCTTAGAGCCTTGTCAGCACGCCAACAAGGCTCTCCAGTCATGAGGACGTGAGATCAAATCCTGGTCAGGGCTAACTCGGCTCCTCATCTTAGCCCTTTGAAAAATAATATCAGTTCATCGGCAATCACTTGGTTGGAAGGCAGCAGCGGCTGTACTATAGAAGTACTAGTCCCTGCCATGAGAATGGTGGAATTTCCATCATTGGCTTAGGGCCACCAATAGAGGCCCTTTGTGAGCATAGGAACACTTTGATGTGACTTTACAAGGGATGGGGTGATCATTAGTATGTTTACTAAGTTAATTGTTTAGTATTTAAATGAATTCACGATGATCATCACAATCACCATCATCATCATAGTCACCATCATTATCACGAACCTGTACACGTACAAGGCCTTTGTCAACCCTCTGATAGATGGATGCCTGCCCATGCGGTGTGGGTTGTGTGGGTTTAATTAATCATACGTGATCACACCAGTCGGTGGGAGTTGATGAAGGTGTGGGAGCATAGAACTACAGTGGAACAATGGACTCGTGTAATCAATCAACCGTCATACCTTGTACCAACATAGTTTGGAACATGATTATTTCCCAACTAAGCAGAGGTACATTTTGCCCCAGAAAGCCATTTGAGAATATATACCCAGTTCAGGAATCGATTTTCATAATTCATTTGAGAACATTGTAAGATAGAGGAATGTGAACCTTACGTACTAATGTTGTTCGCTTGTGCATTCTCCCGCAGTCCTGTAAAGAGCAGACACAGATTGGGTTTGATTCACGAGCCGTCAAAGAAGCAATTTACTAGTTCAATAATTACACCAATGCCACTGGATAGGCATCCACAGTTGTGCTGTGTATGGCTCTTCGATGTGTCTCAGAGTTGTACCATGTATTGTACAGCGTGGTCAAGATGTATTGTGACTCCCATTTAATTATTTCAAACGTAATATTTTTAAGTTTATTTAAAACAGAAATTAACATGCAAAGGAAACATTTTTAGGGGTCAAACATTTTTAGGGGTCGCGTGGATTTTTTTCCCGGTCCTCCGGTTTTTCCCTCCACATTTAGAATAGACACACGTTTAGAGTATTTGGCTGCTATAAATTTACACGTGATATGCCACTTCGTTGAGCTATCATTTGTGGCCAGGTAGCTTCTCAAAAAGAGCTACATAGCTCAGTGGGCCTTACCTGGTAAAATAAAAATCGTTAAGAGTTAAATGTCCACTGTAAAGCAGACAAGGCGCAGTGATACTCAGGGTGGTCACTTGAATCTCCGACAGGTGACTCGGCCATGTGATCACCTACTGCAGACATGATTCATGTTTATTCTTGAGGCTCACAACACTTCACATCAAACGACGCGTATGAGAATCGCCGGCTTCTGATATATGGACAACTGAATGCAAATGGTACGCTCATGTTACCTTTTGGCTATGGGCCTTACCTGGCAAAATATAACATAGTTGTTAGCAGTAGCAGTTTAGGCTGGCAGACGACCCTGGGATGGTGGGGTAAAGCGTGGGTTTAACGCCTTCTCTCGCAACCAGTGTGGCCAGCAAGTGTTGCATGGTGCTGGGGACGTGCGCGCAACGTGGCTGTGCGCGCAACGTGTGGCTCTGCAGACAACGAGCATCGCGTTTGGCAGCGTCGCCCAGTTGGCCGCGTGACAATGGGGCGTTAAAAATCGTGACGGGCCCACGTAGTCCAATTAACGCCTCTTACCGTTAGGCGCATAGTCATTGGCAATCGTAACGGCTCCTGCTCTCTCGCTGAGAATTGTATCGCGTCCATAAGCACGAGCGCTGTGCATTAGCAGTGTGAACATTCAAATGATAGATTTGTACAATTTTCATCACTTTGCGATGATTAGATTGTCCGTAACTACGCGCAGAATTAGTTCGTTTAAAATCAGCTTCAAAGCAATGTTCTGCGAGTGCCTTCTAATGGCCTTCCACTGAATAGTACATCCGGTAAGATTTTCATTTGCTTTTTACAAATATGTTTGTTCCTTTTTATTCATTGTTTTCCTGTCATGAGATTACGAATCAACTCGGATATCTCACCCAGCAGTAAGATCAATCATTCAAGTTTCCGTTTTCCTGCTTTAAACTCTCGGGGCCCCACGTCCCCACACACTCTGCTATGAGATTGTTGCATGGCAAACGAATGTTTTCATCTGTAGAACTGGAATTTACGCATAATTTAAGTGTAGCATGGCTTTTTTCGCGTGCAATAATGAACAATTGGGCTGAGAGCATCAACTCACCACACTTGAGAACCTGGTTTAACCATGGGTGGCTGAAACTCAGTGCCGCCTCAGTGCTTTAACATCTGAGCCACCCTGCCACCTCAAAAATTAATTCTTAAATCGATCCACAACACTGAATTTTGGTAATTGATAGCATCGCTACGAGAGTAAATCATGACATACCTGAGGATGATTGCCAATGATAGCTACTGCCCCTCAAAATCTGAAAAATTGTTGCGATGTTTCTCGAGTGCCTCCTAGTGGCCTAACACAGAATTGTACGCAGAGTAATATTTACCTCTGCGACAGCTGCCCCGTGAACCATAAATACAGTGGACTGACTGATACAACTATCATATTGCAAAGTATTGCGCGTATAGCTGATAATTGTGAGTCGTATGCCAGGCATTGAGGTGAAGCCTCAAGACGCAGTACAGCAAAAGCAGAGTTCCAAAAACATTATTTGTGCAATGTCTGAGAATCTTCCTTTCCCAAGTGTTTTATCTATTGACATCACTCTGTAGTGATGCCAACAGAAGAAGACGTGATCTGCATGATTTATTATTTCAGAGTAAGTGGAGCCTTAGGTCGTGTCAGCAGATTATAGTCAAGAGAAGTTAACGCCACAGAACTGCATCAGGAGTCTTAGCAGGGGCGGAGACAGGGGGGTGACAGGGTAGACAATTGTCACCCCCGAAAATAAATAAAAAATCAAAAATCTGAAACATTCCGCGTATAAGTGTACGACACTCGGTCTGGCGGCCTCCGTGCAACTGCATTGTCAGAGCGTGTTGCCAACCGATGGCGTCTAGTTAAACAGCCTGGCTCTTTAATCATTCTTGAAATTACAATTTGTTGAATGTCACCCCGGGCTGAAAATCCTGGCTCCGCCCCTGAGCCTTAGGCTCATCCAGCAGTTGCATCTTGACTTAAAGCTTTCGTGACTGCAGGGATTCATATTCTCGGGTCTTTCGGTAAAGTCACGTGGATAGGTTATTTTTGGTATTTTTGTTATTTTCTTTGAACCTATCTACGTGACTTTATCGAAAGACCCAAGAATATCATCCAGTAGTGTTCGGCCTGCTCTATGAACATTGCTGGGTTGCTGGCGTGTTCAGCAATAATCATCCTTAAGCAACGTGGGCCTATTTAATGATATACAGCAATATTGCACAAAACTTGTGCGTAACGATTTAAGACAACTGGAATGCCTCGATGATTTAAAGCCAGGATAATAATAATAATAATGACATCCAGTTTAATTTGCTATAGCGTTGCCGTTTATGCAAATTGCATCTCCCGTGTATATTAAGATGTTGTCAGCCAATTAATGAAGGTGAATGCATATGGATGAAAGCAGATCACCCGCAGAAGTCTCATGTATGCGAGGTGGCAATTCGTGCAGCAGGAACAGACAGATTAGTCCTCACTTTGCTGGGCCACCTGCAACCTGGCGAGCAAGGTCATACGGCACCTCCTCGACAGCCACAGGAAGGGAGTTTCACAACATTTGAGTCATCCGCCAACCCTCGATGCCTCGCACAGCTCTGGATTTTCAGACGTGGATAGCCACCACTAAACACCTCAGGATCTCAGCTGTGCTGGCCAGCGGCGTGGCTATCGAGTGTGCAGCTTCTACAACTGCACCAAGGCCCATCGGGTCAGAGGGGGCCTAGGCACTGGCTACAGCAATGTTGTTCATTGCAAGGCCTGCGGGCCACTGGTGGCCCCTGGTGGCCTTTAGTGCGACCCTTTGACGTGAAGCCCACGACAATACAGAAAGGGGTGAAAACACCCCCCATCATGCTGCCAAACTCAATGGTTCCAAATGTGTGGCAGCTGTCACACTGACGATGTCTTGTCGGCAAAAGTGGACCCCCTCTGAAAATTAGCGAAGGACACTGGGCTACGGAGAGAGAGGTAAATCGGACAGGGGAGCCACTTAATGTCTTGCACAAGGGCGAATTCCAAACAGGCTACGTCGCTGGCTCTGGCAGGTGCATTCGTCGCTGTATGAGCCACCCAGCCAGCACGCAGGAATTGTTGAAGTGACCTCGATGTACTGGAAGGACAGCACGTCGACACGGCAGGTGATGCCCCACTGGATGAGGCCCAAGTCGGGCGTCTCCATGACGACCACGGTCCGCAGGCCCGGGGTCTCCCGGTTCTCCACGCCGCGCAGGAGCACGCGGGCGCGCTCCACCGTGTCGCACACCACGACGGCGATCTCCGCTGACACGAGACAAAGACAAAGGTCCCCCGTATAGCCTTGACATACTGTTGGGGCAAGTGCTGTTTGCGAGCACCTATCAAGGCTGGCACTAAGGCACACGAGGGGGTAGGTGGCCAGCACCACGCCAGGCTAGCTTTGTCTCCCCAGTGGCGATGTTTACACACCACACCAAGTACTCGTTTGAGGTTGAGTCGACCTAGGGGAGGCCCAGCACCAGTTCAGTTAAACGTTACTGATGTTGGCCGTGAGCGGGAATCGAACACGGGTCGCCAGCTTCGTAGCGCAGCGCGCTAACCGCTACACTACCGCTCCCCATAGTCACTTTCAGAAGACAAAAATCCCCGTATAGCCTGAATAGACTGTTGGGGCAAGTGCTGTTAGCGAGCACCTATGAAGGCCGGCACAGCACATGCCGGGGTGGGTGTACAGCACCACGCCCGGCCGCATTTGTCGCGTATACTAATGCACTGACACACATAAGCCCTCCCTGACCAGACGCACCAATCGACCAATTTGACCAACCTCTGTTAATGATGAAGCAGATGGCCTCTTGCCCCAGCGTGTCGTACAGAGGCACCACGACCATGGAGTACATGTAGCAAGCCTGCTCCGTGATGATCCACTGGTGGGAGACGTGCAGAAAAGCAATTTTCAGCAGCTAGAATTCGATGTGTTTTTTTTTCATGCATCGTCATTCTTGCGGCTGTCAAAGTTGTATGTAAAAAAAGTAATTTGGTTATTTTTATATAGTACATGCCACGTTTCAATCAAATACTGAGTTGCAAATATAATTTGTCAGCCGAGACTACATTGTAATTGTGTACGCACGTTGAAATTATTTCGCACAGTACGTAGCCAACCATGCTAATCGGAGGTGCGAACATCGCATTAGACTCAGACTCGGGCATGATTATTGCAACCGGTAAGGAGGCCCCATTGAACTCAGCAGCTCTGTTACAAGGACGACAACAGCCAAATATCAACCCAGCAGTGGTGTCAGTTACAGGACGTTGCAGCCGCATATCGCATTTGAATATTCATAGGCTCAGGCTTAATTATTTCAGCTTCGTATGCCTGCGAAACCTGGACACCAAAAAAAGTCTTGACAGGGACAAAATACTGGCATTTGACATGTACTGCTACAGGAGGATACTGCATCTTGTTTGGACACAGAAAGTGACAAACGTAGAAGTAAGAAAAAGGGCTGAACATAACAGAAGACTTGATGATGCGAGCAGTAATTAGAAGGAAACTGAGCTTGTTTGGGCACATGCAGGATGGAGAGCAACAAGAAAATAAAAAATGTAATGATGGGAATAATGGAGGGAACTGGAAGAGGAAGAGCCTGTAGAGAGGGGCTGCATGATGTAAGAGATCGGTGCCATAGAGATGTGGCATAGTCTCAGCATGTTGGCACAGGATAGAGGAAAGTGGGAACAAGTGACGAAAATTGCAGTGGACACCTACGGGTTTTCTGATGATGATGATGATGAAGGCCCCATTGAGGGAAGCAGCTCTGTTACAAGGCCGATCACAGCCCAATACCATCAACAGTGGTGGCAGTTAGAGGAAATGACAGGATGGGAATGTGCAAACTAACAAGGGCAAGAACTAAACTTATTTCGATGAAACATTACACTTGTGTATTCAGATAGATTTCAAAACAACTTAGTTCCCTTTGTCAATGCACTGTTGAGTGAAGGTCTTCTCTGCACCATGTAGGTTACAAGGGGCTGTTTGACCATACTTCATCACGCTGGTCATTGTGGATTGGTGAATGGGGTGGGTGCCCGATACCAAGTCAGAGATCACTCGCCACTGATATTAATGGAACCCAGATCACTCGATTCAGAGTGCAAATTTATAGATTGACTGTGGTGTGTAAACACAGGTTGAAAATAACGATTGTTGTCTTTACCCAGGACATCTGAGTATTTCAGGAAGTTCCTACATTGGGTTGTTTTCCCAGTTCTATTTTAATGAGTGTTTAGCTTAGTGTAGGAGGGAGATTGAGTAAAGAGATCCAACCACGCATTTTAGGAATTCATGTAAAAGGTTCGCACAAACAGATACGATCCATTGCTGTACCACCAGGCCTACAACACCTGGTATACCCTGGTGGGATCTTACTAGGCACCTGAGTTTGGGTACTTTTAGGGTGATTTGGTGGTGGGCTTTCCGGATGCATTATTGTCATCCACCAATAGCGATGGAATATCATTATCAAACAAGATCATGGAATTTCATTTGTGAATCCTCATACACGTTTAACACGTGAAAATGCGCGTGTGCGAATGCTCGTATAAACCAGGGGTGGGGTACGTTCGGCCCGCGGGCCATATAAGGCACCGCAAAATCATTTGGTCCGGCCCTGCCAAGGCAACATCAGGCGGGACTCGAAATTCAATAGATCTAGGAGCAAACCTGGAAAAGCAGTTGCGAGTAGCAACATCATCAATACCAGCTAACATCACACGCCTCGCCAAAGAGAAAGCAATTCCAGCCATCGCATTAGGGATGAGTTAATTAAATGTTTGACCAAATATAACAGGCTAATTTTTAAGTTAATCATTTTGTATGGCCCGCGAATGATGTTATAAATATCCAAATGGCCCTTGGCAGAAAAAAAAGGTTCCCCACTCCTGGTATAAACAGATGAAGAGGCTCTGCTACCTCTGGCCGGTTCTGTGCGAAGACTCCGATGAACTGGTCCGTGGCTGGGCGGCAGCCTTTGTGGATTAACCCCGACCCAAACCACTCCGACCTTTCAGCAACCTGCAAAGAGAGTAGACACGTGGGTTGACCCTAATTTACAGAGGTGGCTCGTGACTTCGATTCGGGGGGAAGCTACAGGGTCCGTCCTGGCTTTTCCCAGCCTAAGTCGGCACTGGCAGGGAACTGGAAGGCGACGCCCGTGGCTTCATTCAGCGTGTCTCAAGTGGACTGGCACGCACCCGGCACACGCGGCTTTGCTGGGTGAACTGGTCTGCTCGGAGCTCAGCGCTGCTCCACTCTTGTGCGTCATCTTCACAAGTCCAATTATCACTTCACTTACTCCACTTGCATGTGTTGCATAAGACTGGAAAACCAGAGACGGCGTTCGTAGCTTGCCCGAAAAACGGAGTCACAAATAGCCACTGCATTTACCATGAGCCGCTGACTGTCATTTACTCCCGCGAATGTTTATTGCGCACTTGGGTCATTGTGTGTTCTCACATATCTAATTCATACGCTCCCTTATCTGCACTTTATGAATATTACGTGGATGGTGAATAATGCAACACCACTGCTTCTGTTGCTGATGATGACGCTGCTACAGATGATGCTAACAAATGAGGCAAAAACATCCGTCAATAACACTGTGGCCTTAAAAGGGTATTATATAAACGAGGCGACGTCTCAGGCAATGTCCTATGAAGAAGAGCCGTTGCCTGAAACGTCTCATATTATATATTCATTTCATTTTAAGGCCACAGTGTCATTGGCGAATGTGTTGAGTTTTTGTTGTTAGGGGCCGTCCATAAATGACGTCACGCACCTGGGGGGGGGGGGTCAGACATTTGTGACGATGTGTGACGAGGGGGGGGGGCGGGTTGAGAAATGTGACGTCACATCAAAATGCGCAACTTTAAATAAATATAGACAACACGTTCTACTTAATTAAATAGACTCTTTAATAAATGTTTTCTCCTACAACATCAGAGTGCAGCGCCACATTAAATACGCACTACAATGACAATAGTTTAAAGCGATTTGAAGCATGTTTTATTTTGGGGGGGGGGGGGGCAGAGCTTTGTGACGTCATATTTGAGGGGGGTCTGACTTTTTTGTGATCTTTACCTCTTTGTAGGACATCCACTGGTATGGTTTTTTGGGCTTCCGATAGCCCAAACATGGCCCATTCTCTGCAAAAGGCAGAAGCATAGTGCACACGTGATTAATTAGATTTGAAACCAGCGCGGTGTTCCAAAAGCATTAATATTCATACGCACTCTCACGTTATAGTCATGGCTCAATAGCAAGCAATCACAAATCATGTGGAGCAATAGCAGCTGTGGCTTTTGTTCATAGTTGGGAAGACCAAGAATGGTAGGAGCTTGGATCGAGTTTAAACACCAATTACTTTGATGCATTATTAATGATCAGAATATACGGAAACTTGTTTTACATATAAATCAGTACCAGTTGAGGCAAATGTATCTTGTTAGAAGCTATCAAATGTTCCTAAAACAAATAATTTATAGTGCAATAAGTAAGAACTTGGCACTCTTTTCTGATGAATCGTCATGGGCAGACTGACAAAACAAATTATCAGTGAAGATCAACAATGGCAAAAGCTTTTGTGAGCAGGCAGACACTTTTGTTAAAAAAAAAATAACGGTTCATAGTTTGAGAAGACAAACGTGAACATTTGAAGCAGAAGTTGAAACACTTTGGGCCCGATTGACGTGTTGACATATTTTTTTCATAAAAAAAATTTTGGCGTGAAAATGAGCTGGTGCCTTGCGCTAATAACAGGAGCAGGGTGGGGGGGGCAAATTCCCACGGCGATGAGGTTCGGCAGCTTTGGCGAGTCGTGAATGTGGTTCATTACACGTTCAAATGTGGATCCAGATCGTCTCGCGAAACAAATGACCCCCCACCACCACTGTAACTGGTTTCGCTTTCATCCTGCGTCGGTTTTCTGATGAGTGTTTGTGCGTGTTCTGGGTGCACCGCGCATCGTTCGGCACGACGTCCGACGTTTCGCTCCACGTGCTGCGGAGCTGCTTCAGGAGACATCGGACATCAATGCCGGACGGCACAGCGCCACCACCCGCGAAACACAGCCGGAGCGGTTTCACTGACACGACAACAAAAAACTGCCACACATTTTACACTTTCAAACACCGATAATGTGAACTGAACCCATACAAATGCGTACTTGAAACGCGCATTCCACGATGGAAGACTTCATACATGGTCTTTGCATCTTCGTAGTAAAACTCCAGCAATTTGTCCTTCTTTAAGAGGGCGGATCTTCTCACACCGTCTTGGCCCTAAATGGGTTGAAACAAACGCTGCCACGTAAGGTGTACGTACGGATGGCCGAGCAAAAGGGAACACTGGCCTCAAGGTAAAGGTGGACCCCAGCAAACGCTTGCTCACGCTACTGCTGGTGGAAGGGCCTACACGAGAGAGAGAGAGACAGAGCTCAGGAAAGGCCCCCTAAGTCGGTATTGTTTGGCCTACTCATCCAAGCTGGCCAGACGTCTTGGAAGAGGTGGAAGTACCCAACATTTACCCCACCACGTGCAGCCTGCTGATAAACTAACTGTGGCGAGACAACCACGGCAGGAAGAAAACTGCTGAAGTAGGCCCCTACTTCAGCAGTTTTTTTTTTCTTGCTGTGGTTGTCCCACCTGATGACGATTGCTCGTGTTGCGATCGAAACGTAGTGATCTATTATATTTCTACCTACGTGACTTTACCGAAAGAACCAAAGAGCATGGATTCCTGCAGTCAAGAAAGCTGCAAATCAAGAATTAACTGTGGTGAACCCACTTAGACGGCAGGGGGATTTAAGAAACCTGAATGATAGACGCATTTGCATAGACGCAGGCTAAAGGGCCAGCACAAATATGTAAAAAAAAACACACTCAATAATTATCAGGCATACATTGTTGGAACGTTCTGTCAGCGAGCAACTATTAAGGCTAGCTTGACGTACGGTAAGGTGATGTGACTGCTCGATTGGGGGGGGGGGGGGAAGACAAAACAAATGTGCCAATTGATATCCTGCGCAGTAAGATATTGCCAGACCGTATGCAGTACAACTGCTTTCTGGAAAATCGCAATTGGTCCAGGCATTCGAATACACAGGAGTGGAACGGTGTATGCGTTTTATTATTATTATTATGTATTCTTAAGCTCATGATGTATACATTGAACCGCGTGTGTGAGAATCACATTTGTTTTATTCTTAGACCGTGTATTTAATACAGTGCATTCAAGTTACCCCTGTAGCCATCAGCGGAGCAATGTAAGAACAAAGCATCCATTGTTCAATCGAATCAGGACCTGGAATTGTGACAATTTATTGAATCGCTGTCAATGGAGGGGCAGTGAATTGTTCCACGAGGATCTTATATCATAGTTCGTTTGTCAATGTATACAGTAGCGTAGCTTAGTATGTATAGGTTATTTTGCACCGTACGTAGCCAAGCGTACTAATCAGAGGTGCGGGTTGAAGGACAGCAGTATACAGTTGTTTATACTGTAAAGTAATCGTTTTTCGTGGGTTTATTGGTGTTGGGTAAAATTATGCATTTTAGATATGTTTAGAATTTAGTCTGACTCTCGCTACATTCATCTTACGGATCCTAGACCTCCTCTCACCCAACCCCAATCTCCATGACCTGGTGAATTAGATTTAAATGCAGCACACAAGGTCACGTATCCAGTTATCCCTTGAGCTTCAGCTATAATTTATAAGTTGTTCTGGGTACAATCTTTACAAATTTACTCATGGTGCATGATGTTGCAGCTATTGAATGCAAGTCCGTCCTGGGTTTTTTTGATTGAGGGAAGGGAAGCTTTGGGGCATTAGCGGTGAACAGATATGCATTGCTCAGTAATGATTTGGACTTATGTGCAGGTGCATTACTTATAACAATATATTTTTTTAAATCCGGAACACTCTGACTGATTCTCAAGTCTGAGGTTTTGAAGGGCCCTGCTTGCAACGATTGGGCTGTTTGGAAGAATGTTCACGTACAGCCCTTTTTGTCAATCCACTGCTGGATGGATTAGCACCTCCCCCACTCCGTGCGGGTCGTGGGAGTTACGTGACAATACTTCGCGTGCTGACTAGTTCTATTCACGTAATGCAAAGCCAAATGTAAGGACTGTAGAGTGGCAGCACACATTGTACAAAAGTGGTTTGAGGCTGATTTTAAAAGCAAATAATATTCAGCGTATGGACGTATTGGCGGTACACCGGTGCAGCATAACACACCAGTCCTCATAAAACAGTTTAATATCAATGAGGCCCGAGCTGACGATGTCGCTGTTGCCCTTGAGTGAACTGCAGACTCTCCATCAGAAGTTGCCTTCGATTCAGCAGCCGCTTTCCCATTCGAACGTGTGACACCCACGAGTTGCAATCTTTTGATGTCACCGTCCGCCAAAAAATTATTTCGGAAATGAATCGAGGAACCGTCCGACCAAGTCTAGGGCACCAGGAGTCAAGTCTGCCTTTGGAACACGGAGCCAACAGACTGTGAAGGCAACAGACTGTGAAACATCGTAGTCTAGCTGCTCATAACATTCATCTTCCAACTTTTTCAATGTCACGAGAGCTGATTTTGATGCACCACCCCACAACATTTTTTCGACCGGGGTTGTGAATCGCGGGAAAAGAAATAATCATTGCGCAAAAAATGTGCTTTTTTTTTTAAAACCGCGTACCGCCGTACCGCCAATACGTTCATAAGGAAAGAGGCCGGTCTCGGTCTCTCTCACGGGCCCTTGAAAACGATTGTGCACGGGGGGCCGCCACCACCCTGCTGGGCTTACCTCCACCTCCACGGACTGCTGCGTCAGCTGGCACGGCGGGCAGATGGGCCGCGGCCGTGACAGGTACCAGTACCCCGTGAACAGGGAGGCCGTGCCAACTCCTAGCCAGGCGGAGGGGGGCATAGACCCCCACACGTTCTCGAGCAGCCCCCCGATAGAGAGCATTTGCGTGCGCCAAGGGATGTACTCCTCCACCCATGCCATCTCGTGTCCAATCGCCGGGATGCTGAGCCAACCTGCAGGTAACAAGTCACGATCATTTAAAAAAAACTCCAATGGCTATTGGCCGTTCAGTGTTAGGGGTGGATGCTGCTTGCCCTGTTGCCTGACCGTTTTATAGGGAGGACATAGCAAGCATGCTCAGGGAGGGCCCAACACAGTCAGTGTCAAGCAAATGATGAACAGAATGAGTAACGATATGATCTTATTTTGTGAATCATGCAGGGAGGGGTGGGAGGGGTTATTGGACCATACTTCACCACGCGGGTCAGTCAGATTTGTGACAACGTGGGAGCATATCATTAAATTGTTAAAGTATAACTATTGACTTTGTTGCACTTGCTCTCTGCTGCCCAGAACGTAGCCCTGCAGCCTACCTATAGCACCTGTTATGCATGGTGGCCACCTATCTAAACAGTATTCAGACAGATTATATTGAGTACATATTGACATAGCCACCTATAGAGTGTGCAGGCGGTGCAACTGCACCGGGGCACATGGGCCAGAGGGGCACAGGCACTGAGCTACAGACGGGAGGGAAGTGGGAAGATTGCACAGGGGGGAGAAATTTATTTTGCGGAGCCATGGTGGCGAGATGTTAACTACCTTGCCTGGTATACAGGATGGTCGTGGGTTCGATCGCGACCCTGATACCTGCATATTTGGAGTTTGCATGTTCTCTGCGTGATGACATGGATTTCTCTCCGGTTTGTCCCTGCACGCGATAAGCCACTTCATTGGGCTTATCATTTGTGGCCAGGTCGCTTCTGAAAAATAACTATATAGCTCAGTAGGCCTTATCTGGTAAAATGAAATTTTTAAAAATATATTTTAGTTTAGTTTCAATTATCTGTAAGGGAGCCTACGCCGATCATTATATGCCACTAATCAGCACACTTTTAAAGAGATTTGCAAGTGCAATCGTTCGGGTGTTGGGATGGTACCAGCAAAAGGGCCTGCAGGTAAAAGCTTTTTACCCATGCAATTGAACCGGACACTTACAGCCCAGGATCTCGGAGGTGCTGGATGAGTGTTCTGACATGGCCATTACAGCAATGGAACTGTTAATATTGCAAAGAATGTCATTAAAAACACTTTAGCAATGTCTGAAAGTGAGAAAATAAAAAATATAGTTTATACTCCACGGCTAAGCCCTTTTCATTGGCAAATATTCTTGCAAGTCCCTGTGCTCTGTGCTCTAATTGTTTTTCATTTGAGAGTTATTTATTTTATTGGACCATGTTGTTTACTTTTGTAAAGTAATTGCCCATTGAGGCGCTAAATATTTGAAGGGATCAGGGACTTCAGGAATGTTTCACCGTGCGCGGTCGTACGCAACAATATTTTGGACCAATCGCTAATTTGTCAACAATGTGGATTTATGTTTTAAGTCCTGCATTGCATTATTGTACAAGGTCATGCCCCTAGGGCGCGTGCTAAGTTTTGCAAACCAATGTATGCACGCAATGCAATGTGGATTAACATAGAGTCCAAATGCAACTGCATCTCATGAACGCTGTACATAACAGTGAGTGTGTATGTTTATTTTATATATAAAGAGAGTGAGAGGTAGTAAGTCTGAAGAGGATAAGAGGAAGATCTGCACTTAAACAGGAGGGATTTTGCAGCACCGATGGATGGGGGAAGGGAGTTCCAGACCATGGGAGGAGAAAAAGAGAATGAGCGACCTCCCTTTGAGTTGAGGTGGAATGGGCGCTTGACCGGAAAGTTTTGGTTGCTGGAGCAGAGTGCGTGAAGGGAAATAAAATGAGATGAGAGGGGAGAGGTAGGAGAGTGTTTGTGGAGGGGAGTAGAGTCAGATGAGAGGGGAGAGGTAGGAGAGAGCGTGGAGGGGAGTAGAGTGAGATGAGAGGGGAGAGGTAGGAGAGTGCGTGGAGGGGAGTGGAGTGAGATGAGAGGAGAGAGGTAGGAGAGTGCGTGGAGGGGAGTGGAGTGAGATGAGAGGGGAGAGGTAGGAGAGTGCGTGGAGGGGAGTGGAGTGAGATGAGAGGGGAGAGGTAGGAGAGTGCGTGGAGGGGAGTGGAGTGAGATGAGAGGAGAGAGGTAGGAGAGTGCGTGGAAGGGAGTGGAGTGAGATGAGAGGGGAGAGGTAGGAGAGTGTGTGGAGGGGAGTAGAGTGGGATGAGAGGGGATAGGTAGGAGAGTGCGTGGAGGGGAGTAGAGTGAGATGAGAGGTAGGAGAGTGCGTGGAGGGGAGTAGTATATAGTAAAATGGCTGACGATGACCGTCCTGAGTCGTACTTATCCATCAGTAATTAACAGTGATAGAGTTTGCACGCAGAGGTTCATGAAAAATAACTACTGACTGCTCATCGCGTGCTCTTAATTGCCGCGCTGCTCCTGCGCTGCGTTTCATAACAAACTGCTTTCGGTTCACCAGGGCAGCACAACGTCGCTTTGTTATGCCGCAGCCGGTGCACAGTTGGCGGAGAACAACAGCACCGTCATCGTGGGTGCCACCAGTTTCCTGCTGCTGCTGCCAGGGACGTGTTCTGCGATGGGTGGGCAAATGCCCTCCCCTCCCTATGTCACGAAGCACAGTGCCGGATTATCCCGGTAGCAAAAGTAGCTGCATATGTAGTAGCTACGGGCCCCGCACTCTCAAGGGCCCCGCGCTAAACGCTTTCAAGCTGTCAATTGCGGTTCAGTGGTTCTGCACTTGCTATAGTACTATACTGCCTTCAACTTTTGGTGTTTAAGGTGAGCGATTTGTCGTATTATCTGGCTGTATAGAAAGTGAAAAAATACAATTACTTTACTGTGCAAGTAAAAAAGAATAGTGTTTTAATATTTGTTTTGTAAATCTAACTTATGCTTAATCCGGCACTGACTAAGCAGTGTGTGATAGTGCAGAGTCCGGCATCCACCTCCCTCCCTACCAGCCTATACATATCACTACCTTTCGACAAATTCACCGAGTGCTTGCCCGTCTACGCACTTGTCCACCTACTTGCCCACTCACCTGCATATCTAATTAAAGTCATACATGGCCACGTGCCTAGCTATAGCCGTTCATTTACCTACACACCTTCCTAACCACATACTTACAAATCCACCTACCTAGCACCCATCTACCCAACTACCCACCTACCTACCCACACACCTAGCAACCGACTCATCTTCCTACTAACCTAGACACAAAGATCTACCTACCTATCCTACCTACTACCCACCTAGACACACACTCGCCCACCTAACTACCTGTCAACCCACTAATCTACACATTCACTCACCATATACCTATCTACTAACCCACTTACCTCCCCATTTACACAACCCACCAACCTAACCTGCCTACGTAACAACCCGTCCACCTACCACTACACTGCAGGTGACAACACACTCACTCGCCCACTCACTCAACCACACACTACAACTTACAACTCACTCAACCACCCACTCGATCACACACTGCAGCTCACAATGCTTTTCCTTTATGCTCTACTTGGGACATTCTCTCCCATCGTCTCTTTCCCCAAGTTATCTATTACAACTCTGAAAGTGCTCTTTGTTGCTGGCCGCGTGGCGTATTGGGCCTATGCTTCAGCAACTGTATTTTAATACGGCGAAATGTTTGATGATATACTTTAGCGCAAAATTCACAGCTATTAAATTTATACAAGATACAATTATACTCCGCTCAATTTTTTTCGTAAATATTACAGCTTCCGTCCTAGGACGGGCAAAGAAGCTCGTCAAATAATATTCAGCTACTTAATGCCTGCCTGACACGAAAACCCCAATGATATAATCACCTGGAAATAGGCCACACTCATCAGATCTCAGAAACGAAGCCACGTTAAGCCTGCGCAGTGCTCGGATGGGCGACCACGATGCACATAAGGTGGTTATAGGCTGCGAGACTTCGACGTGAGCAGAGGCCATTGCAATGAAACCCATTCACTGAACAACAGCGTGGTGAAGTAGTGGGAAAAGCCCCCCCACGACGGCGTGCCGGGCACAGAAAGTGTCACCAACCCGGAGAGACGCGGCTGCAAATAAGCCCTGCACATCCGTCGCGCGTACATACAACACACACGTGGGCATGCTGAGAAAAAGTGTAGACTCCCCTTGCACACGGTATCAATGGGTGGCTGATGGCAGTGCTTGTTTTCTGTGATATTGATTGTATGGATGTTGAATCTTCCTTCGCACCATGCGTAGCCAACCGTGCTAATGGGAGGTGCGGAAAGATTTCAATGCAAGCAAAGCGTGGTTATATGCGAAATAAATTATGGTGGCAAATAGCCACTCCGGTGTGTGTCCGCCGGTCTTAATCCAGATGTTCTCTAATCAAGCATAATCCCCTCCTTCCGTGGGCAGATGTCGCTCTCCCATTGATGGTGAGGCGAGGGGGAAGAGGAAGTTTCTCAAAAGCGGATTAGTGATGCCTGCAACATCCTTGGCCTACTTTTATTTCGGTTGCTCTCTATTCACGCCGCCAACGTTGTCTTCGCTTGCCATTGGCCGGGCTCTTACGCTCCCAATGGTTGTGATGAATAAAAAAAGGTTAAAGTGCGTTACACTGTCCTCTCCCCACTGGTTGTGATGAATTCAAAGTTAGAATAGTACATTACACTGTCCTCTCCCAATGGTTGTGATGAATTCAAAGTTAGAATAGTACGTTACACTGTCCTCCCCCCACTGGTTGTGATGAATACAAAGTTAGAAGAGAACGTCACACTGTCCTCTCCCCACTGGTTGTGATGAATTCAAAGTTAGAATAGTACATCACACTGTCCTCTCCCCACTGGTTGTGATGAATACAAAGTTAGAATAGTACATCACACTGTCCTCTCCCAATGGTTGTGATGAATACAAAGTTAGAATAGTACATATTCTTAGCTCTTTCGGTAAAGTCACGTTGAAGGGAAACAATAAAATAATAAAATATATATAAAACAATAAATGAATTACTGCAGTCACGAAAGCTTTAAATCAAAATTTAGAATAGTACGTTACACTGTCCTCTCCCCACTGGTTGTGATGAATACAAAGTTAGAAGAGAACGTCACACTGTCCTCGAGCATTATGTCAACCACGGTAGGGTGGCGAGCCCGAATGATCTCACCCCATTACCTAATGATCAGGGTCCGAGTTATTCACGTGGCCTGTTATATATTTGTTACATGTTGCTTCCGCCCCCTCCCTTTCATGTTCCCGTCGTGTTCCTGGATCTTGAAAATCTAAATAAAAATGTTGACAACAAAATAATTAGAATATGTGCCACGAGAAAAGAAAAACAAAGCCGCACATGGAGCATGACAGTGGCATAATAGGTGCACAAACACAGCTCAGTGACCTCTTAGTTTAGTCTTACGGACTGTCCCTTGGGTGGGCAAATGCCCTGGGGTCGTTAGCATCAACACCCTTTGCCGATATCCCAAGTGCTGATGTGGACGCGCAGCAATGTGCACGTACAGCGCCCTTTGTCAATCCACTGCTGGATGAGCGCCTCTCCATACGCCGTGCGAGTTGCGTTGGCGACGTACGGCGCGAAAGAAGTTCAAAAGACACGCATACATCACGCTGGTCAATGCGGGTTGCTGAAGGCGGGAGAGCGGAGCTGTAGGAACAGGAACATAGTACAGTACAGTTCAACAATGGATTTTGCCGCACTGTCCTCTGTTGCCCATAATAACACACAGCACTTCATGTATACATTTATGCGACAGCGAGGTGTGTTTGTGTATTTTTTTCATCTACAGACTATTTTTTTTATTTTACCAGGTAAGTTTCCACTGAGCTATTTAGCTCTTTTTCAGACGCGACCTGGCCACAAATGATAGCTCAACTAAAGTGGCTTATATCATGTGGACATTTATAGAAGCCAAATACTCTTAAACGCGTGCATCTTAATGTGGAGGGCAAACCCGTAGGACCCAGAGAAAAATCCACACGACCACGGGGAGAGAGACACGCAAACTCTAAATACACAGCAGCAGGCGTCAGGGTCGAGATCTAACCCAACGACCTCCTGTGTACCAGGCGAGGTAGTTAACACCTCACCAGCGTGGCACCATCACATTTCCGGATGAGGGCCCACCCCACACCGTCTCAGGCGTGGGATCGTTTGACCATACTTCACCACGCTGGTCAGCGTGCATTGGTCAAAAATTTAAAACCATGGGCTTGGAGAAATAAATGCAGGACAACAAAGCGACACGGCCTCTGTTGACCACCATGTGCAACACCGCGGCCACCTACGACAATCCTGGCATGCACGGTGACCTGCCATCCTGGGCACTATCCACAACATCAAACCTGCTCGCCTTTCGAGGTCTGGCGAGATCTGTGTGCATATGCTGGACGAGATCGGTGGTGCATTTGCTGCTGTAATCATTGGGTCACGACGCACAACGGGGCGACACCACTCGTACACCGACCTTCCAGACGATGTTCTGCCGGTTAGCGCAAGTGTGGAAGGTCACCCGTGGTTTATTTGGCACACGCATCAACACCAAGTGGACGCATCGTTGGCAAAACACAGCCACAGCGAGCAACGTTAACGGAGAGGCAGTTTTGTTGAAGGCGCGCGTGTGCACACCGCCAATGGGGTACAATCTGGACACGGAGGCGTAAACCCTCGTCATTTCTAAAACGATGACCTCTAAAACGTAGTTACGTAATATAGAGCTGCTCGCCCCGAGCTGTGAATGCTCTGATGCGTGGCATCGTCTTTGCGCTCTTCGCCTTTTGGCGTTCTCTGGTCGTGACAATTGGTGAGACTGGGCCCTAAAGGAGGCTGTCTGGTGTAGACCAATTAGTTTCAAAGGCAATGCCATATATTATCAGATGTTTATTTGCATGTTCACCACAAGTGCTGTGTGTGGTTAATGCAGACATGATTCCTTGCAATTAGGTTTATATTTGGTGTTTGAGCGTCTCTCCACCTGTTTTATTGCCAGAAATGGGTCAAATCTATTATTATTGTTTTTAACGCCATAGTTATGCCATGCCAAATAATAATCAACAGCCCCGGTATGTTAATCCACTGCTGGATTAAAGACCTCTCCGCGCGCTGTTTCCGTGCTGCGGGTTGTTTGTCCAAACTTCACCATGCTGGTGAGTTGGGGGGGGTTGTTAGAGTAGGGAAGAGTGGTGCCCAGCACTGGTTTCAGACATCACTCGTCACCGACGTTAGCTAGCCATCGCTGGCAATAGAACTTATTATAATGTTGGCCACATTCATTGATAACTGCGCGAACCACCGCACCACCACCACCACCAACCACTACACCACATCACAACTTTAATAGGCATTCTGCCAATAACGTTTTCCAATTAACCTACCACCACTGATGGGACACAATCCAAAATCACAGTTGAAGCTAAAATAAAACAATCAATATAAACTTACTACGGTGGTTGCGCGTTTTGAGTATACTGTATAATTAACGGTGGCCTGATATGTAATTTTTCATTATTATAAATTGCACCGTCAATGTTGGCTGTAAACACGTTCCACCATCATCGTGAGTAACCAACAACTGCTTTTAAAGCAATAACGTTAATCATGAGGTAATATATAGATTATAGAGCAATGACCCTTAATCACAAAAACTGACGATACACTTTTGTAAACTGCACAACTGTTGCATTGGTTTGTACGCTGAACGACCTTTTTTTTAAAACCAAAACGCTATGTAATACGTGGCAATTACTAAAGCACTGCTCGACTGACTCGGCGTAAGATCTCACGATTTACACGAGGACAATATTTGACAACCAAAAAAAAATTCGTGCGCTACCGTGCAGCGGAGAAATGCGAACGGACAATCCACGGTAAAGTTTATACACAAAGTAGATGCCGTGTCACTATAGGACGCAACACACGCACAATGGCTCACGCTGTCACAGAAAAGCAACTCATAGCCTCATTTAACCGGTCATTATTCAAACATCGTAAACTAGATTCACTTTATACTCTTTGGTTTTTTTCGGTAAAGTCACTTTTTTTATTTTATACCTACGTGACTTCACCGAAATAACCAAAACGTATTTTATTCCTACAGTCACGAAAGCTTCAAAATCTAGATTCACTTTCTCCAAAACTTGATGCACACACTCCCCACCCACCACCACCACCCACTAAAGTTCGATTCTGGTAGTTCAAAAAAACACATCTCCATTTTTCAACGTTACTTTATGAAACGTATGAAACGACTCTCAGTGCAAAAAAAAAGGATAAGCCGGGTTTTTATTTATTTTAATTTTAGTTTTTTTTCTTTTCCTCCCCGAACGTTAACCACAACATAGCGGATTTGCCTTACCGGTTTGCGCACGCAGCTCCTACGAGCCTGTGAAAGGAGCCCTCGTCATTGTGCACCCACCGCACGCAGAAGATGATCTCCCAGGGAGACTGGCGGCAGAGATGGGAGAACATTGTGTGGGCAAGAGTGACGGCCACACCGCCACCCCCCCCACCACCACCACCCCCCACTACGGCTCTCGGCAGTGACCGTGTCCCCAGCGACGTGGTGCCAAGGCGCCACCCACACTCCGGGTCATCGTCGCAGCGGCAGTAGCGGCTGTAGCCATCGAACAGCAAGAGCGGACGTCGTGTCGCGCGCTTTCAGATTCAAGTTTCATTTATTAGGTTACTAGCTTTAACTACCCGGCTTCGCCCGGGACTTGGATTCACCACGCCCGGCCGCCTTTGTCTCCCCAGTGGCGATGTTCACACACCACAGCAGTTACTCGTTTGAGGCTGAGTCGACCTAGGGGAGGCCCCAGGACCGGTTGAAATAATCGTCACCGGTGGTGGCCGTGAGCGGGAATCGAACTCGGGTCGACGGGTTCGTAGCGCAGCGTAGCGCTAACCGCTACACTACAATGCGTTACGCTTGCACACACACAGACAGACACAGACAGACACACAGACAGACACACACACAGACACACACAGACAGACACAGACAGACACACAGACACACAGCGCGCTAACCACTACACTACAATGCGTTACGCTTCCACACACACACAGACACACACCACACATAGACACAGACAGACACACACACAGACACACACAGACAGCACGCTAACCACGACACTACAATGCGTTACGCTTGCACACACAGACAGACACACACAGACACACAGACAGACACACACAGACACACAAACACAGACACACAGACACATACACAGCGCGCTAACCACTACACTACAATGCGTTACGCTTCCACATGCGCGGGTCACGTGACAGATTTGACGTCACAGCTCACTTGCTGTGCAAAAAATAAAAGCATTATTGAGCTCCCCCCCCCAAAAAAAAAAACCCTAAAGTGTATTTTTATAAATTTTGCATGGTGTACACTCTGGAAAGTACCCACATGGCAAATTTCAAGTTTGTTGCATGTCGGGAAGTACGCTAAACATTTTGAACAGACACAATCACAACTTTGCCTTTTATATATATGGAGATAGCTCCTGTGAGCCATGCGGCTCTTTACTCGGGTGCAATCGCAACAAACAAAAACATGAACAGAGAAACATCTTAAAGCGACGCGCTTCTGCGGCCGCCTGGAACGCTCTTCCTTTCCGATATTAGGAAGCCACTGGAGCTTCACACTTTTAAATCATCTAGATTCATAACTCAATTCTTGAGAACTGATTGTTGTGTTTTTTGGTTTGGCCATGTTTTTGTTTATTGTAGGACGGAGTTAGACTGATGGCCTTAATCTAAGTTTTCTTGTTGTTGTTTTACTTGCATCCCACTGGGGATTTTTGCACACAGCGTTGGTGTACGGTGCTATTTCAGGAATATTTTGATGTTTTTTCCTGGATTTTCTGTTTGCACAGTCACATAGTCACTTTAAGATGTTTTCTTGTTCATGTTTTTTTTGTTACGGTTGCACCCGATTCAAGAGCCGAATGGCTCACAGGGCTATACCAAATAAATGAAACAATGAAAACTATTTACATTATGAGACCTCCTTTGCCAGTAACGAGATATAGTAATAGGTTTTACCCTTTTAACTGGCACAAAAACTGACACCTTTATTCAAGGCATCATGTTTCCAATAACCACAACACAAGCAGTCAAAATGCAAACAAAAGAGACAACTCTGATAATAATATGCACTGTCCTTGAATTTGATTGGTCCACACCCGAGACGGCTTTTCTTAGAGCCTAGTCTCCACTGGTGTTGGACCAGAAGATGCCAAAAGGCGTACAACTCAAAAACTGATTTTTTGGGGGGTTGGCCTCCTCCTCCTCCCCTTTCAACTTATAAACTCCTCGTGAGCTGACAGAAGAGATGTGGGGCGCCACGGTGGCGAGATGTTAACTACCTCGCCTAGTATACAGGAGGTCGTGGGTTCAATCTCGATTCTGACACCTGAACTTTTCGAGATTGCATGTTCTCCCCGTGATCGCGTGGATTTTTCTCCGGGTCCTCCGGTTTCCCCCGCCACATGTAGAATCAGCTTGCATTTAGAATATTTAGCTCTATACATTTCCACACGATAAGCCACTTCGTTGAGCTATCATTCGTGGCCAGGTCGCTTCTGAAAAAGAGCTCCATATAGCTCAGTGAATCCCTGCAGTCACGAAAGCTTTAAGTCAAGATTTGGGCCTTACGTGGTGAAAAAAAAAAGTTAGTTCTCTTGCGATCATCATGCATGCAGTCCCTCCCCAAGAACGATGACCTCTTTCTAGCACCTGAAGTTAGTAATCCTTCGGACTTATGTTTGGTTGCTGTGAGTTCGCTTGCGACTTAGCAAGACCAGAGTTTGAGCGACGCACGCCCTCCCACAGAGATCATCTCACGCGCAGTTGGCTGAGGGTAACTCCCGAGGTTTTACTATCACCGGCCGACACTGTAACCACCACTTCTGGCCCTTGTGAAACGAGAGAGCTGTAGACAAGAGACGTAGATGGTGCCAGATGAGAGAAGCGAGGTGCAGACAAGAGAGATGAATTGAGATGTGAGATCATTTCTGTACGTTTAAGTAAATTAGCCTCGTATGTTGGTTAGGATTGAAATTCGTGCTGATATTTAATTCACCCATAGTTTCTTGACATTCATTCAGGTTACCCCATGAACAATTTTGGGCCCTAAACGTTTCCTTCGGTTGCTTATGGCTCTAGATAGCGCCAGCGCTGCACACGATGGCGTGGGCAACTCAGGTTTCCAGATTATTCATTCTGGACTTGTTTTCGTAGAGACATTGTATTCCAATGCAATGCTACATGAGTAAAAAAAATACGTCTATATGTAACAGAATCTCAAAACGCCATGAGGTGAGATGAAAGGAGGAGGGGTTAGGGAGGATGAGGGAGGAGGAATCCAGTGGAGTGACTGGTAAAAAAATATTTGTATAATGGTTGGGAATACTGGCAATCAGACGTGGAGGATGAAATTAGGTCTTGCAGCAAGGATTTGAACAAGAGGATGGAGTCGGGAATGCAGCCAACAATGCAAATGAGTTACACACATCAGGAACAGCACGGAGCTTTGTGAAAGGGGAGGGTTAGGCAGGAGTGGCGAGCCTATGGAGAGTGTTATAATGAGGAGACAAGGGGTCCATGGTGGAATTGGAAGCCGTAGTGGTGACTGTAAGATTGGAGCGAGGAGGTGACGTGTCGATAACAATTTTGCACGTGGCATTGTGGATCATAATTCCCTTGCCACATGTGTGGCATGGTTTTTTTCTGAAGCATTCATGTGGAATTCGACAAAAAGAGTACGTATCTATTCCTCCTAGAGAGATGCAGTAATTCACGTGCAGAAAACTTGCAGAAGCTTTCGTGAAGGTGGAATCACTTTATCGAGCAGCGGTCAAACTCTGCAGTTTGCAGGTAAAGAACCTGGTAGAGAAAGTGAGGCCCTGCTCCATGACTTTGTAGTTCAGGGCCACCTGTACAGGGAGAAAATGGCCCCAGTCCTTACAAAAAAATAGGGCCCCACAATGGGCGTGGGTTTGTTTTTGTTGTATCTTCCTCCATGTAGCATTCTACCCCAGGCCTCCAGGAATATCTGGGTAGTCCTGTTCACAGCCATCGAACAAATAACGGTCACCGCATCACGCACTTAAAGATGCCCGTCTGGGACGCTCTTCCTTCCGATATTCGGAATGCATCGGAGCCGTGCACTTTTAAATCTAGATTGACAACTAATTTCTTTAGAACTGCTGTTTGTGTTTAGTGTTTTGTCCTTCCCCTGCAGCTCCGATTAGTACGGTTACTCTCCAACACACCGGTGGGCTGGCATAGTTACCAATTTGCACGTTCATATTCTTGGTTCTTTCGGTAAAGTCACGTAGAAGGGAAACAATAAAATAAAAAAATATAAAACAGATAAGCACGTATAAATGTATTTATATTTTTATTATTTTATTGTTTCCCTTCTACGTGACTTCACCGAAAGAACCAAGAATATGAATCCTTGCAGTCACGAAAGCCTCAAATCAAAATTTGTGCGTTGTTTACGTGACAAACCTTAATGGCTGTGTCGGGTGGTGGAGGGTTACGACACATTTATACTAACCGAAAAACCTTAATTACGAATATTTGCAGAAACATGAACCGCTGCTGAATCAAAGTTCGATATTAAATTCACTGCAGCGCAGATTTGGCTCGGGCAGATTTTTTTGGGTTTAAATCTGATCAAAGTACAATTACAGAAACATTACACGTTAAACAGACGTAGGGTGGCTATAGTACTAATATATAAACAGATAAGCACGTATAAATGTATTCATTGAAGGGAGTATGTGTGCCAAAATAAAGAGGAAAGCCTGAAGATCTGACAGGACAGAGGGAACTTGAACCAAAAAGTTTGCTCTGGTGGCTAGAAATCAAGAAGACGTGAACATGTGTTACATTTTATATTCTCATTTTCTCATACCACTCACTCAGTGTTCTTCACTAATTTTCAGAGGAGGGGGGGGGGCAGCACTAAAGGCCACCAAGAGCCTTGCGATAGATGAAGAACTCTGCACGAACTCATCGCATTCATATCGCAAATATTGTATTCACTTTATCCACTAGGTGGCAATACTACACTGGTATAAAAAAAATCACGTTTCATGACTAACTGAAGCAATATTTAGAATCCATGGAACTTTGAAGAATACTGACATCGAAAGGTAATAAGATGTGGTGAAAAAAATAGGCAATTACACAAATGGAGTTTTTTGCACTGTTACTGTACAGTACACATTGAAATATTACCAGCAATTAATGTATCGCTAAAATGCACAATGAATTATGCCATCGTGCAATTGTCATTTGATATCAGTCGTTTGCATTCGAGTACATGATTAATATTTGACATTGAAAATGCTTAAAATTGCAAGAGTGATAAATGAGATGCAGGTAGATTTATTTGTATTTTATGTAAATCATTGTTTTACTCGTAATAGATGTTAA